TTAAATGATTTTTTAAAATTTATTTTTTGACTGCATCACATGACATATGGGATGTTAGACCCCCCACCAGGGATCGAACATTTGTGCCCTACATTGGGAAGGTAGAGTCTGCATCACTGGACACCCAGAGAAATCCTTGATGATTTTTTACATGTTTATTTTACATGATTTCAGACTTTCAAAAGTTGCAAGAATGATGTAAGACTCCCCATATGCTCTTTATCCAAATTCCCCATTTTTAACTTGTTTATTATATCCTTCTCTCTTTATACATACATTTTTTTTTTTTCCTGTGAACCATTTGAAAGTAAGTTTTAGACTTGATAACCAACACTTTCCCTCTAAAAACTCAAATACGTGATTGGAAAAAATCAGGAAGACTCCCTTATACTAGCAGAGGACTTAGAAAAAACTTGGGGTGTTCACACCATCACAGTGTTGTCACCTGCAGACCTTACTTGGCTTTGTTGGTTGTCCCACTGATAAGAAATACAAGTAAGAAGACTGAGAGGACTTTATGCATCTTTTCAGATACACCGCCTTCCCCACCCTACCCCCACCCCCTCATTAAGCAGAGCAGGCTCTAACCCATATGGAATCCCATATATTTTAAGACACAAAGCAGGTAAACAGCAGGCAATAGATGATTAGCTTTTTCTACCTTATAGAGAAGGGGGTTCTTAGACTATGGCAAAAGGGCAGGAGAAATGAATACAGAAATTTAGAAAGGTGATTGGATGACAGAAAGGTTTTACTAGATCTTCTGGAGTGGGAATTACATATAATTTCGGTTTTAGCTGAGTGCCTTTTCTCAGCCTTGAAACATCACTTCAAGGTGAAAGTAGCTCTGTTTACCGGGCTTTCCAGGTGTCGCTAGTGGTAAAGAACCTGCCTGCCAATGCAGGAGACATAAGAGACGTGGGTTTGATTCCTGGGTCAGGAAGATTCCCTGGAGGAGGGCATTTCAACCCACCCCGGTATTCATGCCTGGAGAATCCTATGGACAGAGGAGCCATAGGGTCGCAAAGAGTCGGACACGACTAAAGCGACTTAGCAGGCATGCACAGCTCTGTTCACAACACTGAGTCATGACGCTGAGTCACAGGTGGAGCTTGACGTGGTCCAGATCACTTAATATAAACTGATCAGGCTCTGGCTATCAGTCAGTGACCAGGAGGCCTCTTTGACTGTCTGGCTCTGGGATGGGCCAAGTGGACACTTTGTAGGTAGGGCCTAGCAGCATGTGAGGTGGATGGCCCAGGACTATAAAATTGACATCATGGAGTGCAAAGTGAATCTGTTCCCTGCAGAACTAAATGATCTCTAAGATCCCTGCAGGTTCTCATATCCTGTAATTTTATCCTATTTTACATTTCCCAGATTTACTTTGAGCAAACAGACCTGCATTCTAATCCTAGGTAACAGTACCTAAAGTAAAAAAAAAAAAAGAAATTTGTGGTCTACATTGAGACACAGCCTGCCAGCTAGGGGAAACCAAGATTCCTTGGGATTTCACTCCAAAGGAGCGTGCTGAGTGTGACTTTGTAGGTTGGGCCCTAAGACGTCTGGTAGATACCACCCTTCCTCCTCCTGCGAGCAGAGTTGTGGTTTTATATAGAAAGCCGTTTCCTCCAGAAAGCCCCTGGGATGCAGTGGTGTGGACGTGGAGATGTGCTCAGGTCAGGAGTGAGCCTCAGCTCTCTGGCCAGTTGGGGGGCCACCCCCCTCCACAGCAGCTCTCCTCTTGCAGTGGGATAACAAACACGAGGGGGCCTCAGTGGCTTTGGAGAGGCCGGGGGCGGGGGGGCCCCCACCGGAGCTGACCTCTGTGTTGGGTCAGTGATCAGTATCCCTGTGTCATGTCAGGGCCAGTTCTGTCTGGCAGGAGCCTCTCTGCACTGGGAGAGGGCAGCTGGTGAGTTAAGATGACAGGAGACTGTGCGGCTTCATGTTCCTGGCACAGATAGAATCGGGTTCTTGGTGGTGGAGAAGTGGATTGCCCCAGTTTGCACCCAGCTTCATTGCCCTGAGTGTTGAGAAAGTTCTTTGTTTGTTCTCCTGCAGAGCGTTCAGACCCTGCTGTTAAACAAGGGCTCTAAACACACTTTTAGGAGAGGGAGAAGAAAGCCCAATTCTATTATTATTAATCTCAGTTCTATAGAGAGCAAAATGAGGCTGTACCTATTTACATTAAACTCCATGTTCATAGAATTCATTAACTCCTAAGACTCTCTGTGAAGTTACTCCATAGTGTCCGACTCTTTGCGACCCCATGAACTGTAGCCTGCTAGGCTACTCCGTCCATGGAATTTTCCAGGCAAGAGTACTGGAGTGGGTTGCCATTTCCTTCTCCAGGGGATCTTCCCAACCCAGGGATTGAACCCGGGTCTCCCACATTGCAGGCAGATGCTTTACCATCTGATCCACCAGGGAATCCCCCTAAGACCCTTTAGCAGATTAATATGCTGTATAATATTTGCATTGATCATGTTGGGGTTTTCATCTGTTTTTGTCGAAGAGCTTTGTTGATGCTTTTCTCTGATGTTACCTGTTGGGGTGGGCTCAGCATGTAATAAATAAAGCCAACTGATAAAAAAAATCAAGGCTGCCTCTAGGCCATATAACACTTGTTACAGCTGTATTGCAAAGAATGAATGCAGCCAAAAGGTTCAGTGACCTAGTTCAACCCTGGAGATGACCCCCCAGAGGTGTGTGGCAAGGTTAAGGGGTTCCTGCTGTTCTCAGGCTGCAGGAGATGAGTGTCTGGTCCTCAGTCAGCACCCCTGAGCTGGGAGGCCCTTTCCAGCGTTGCAAAGATGGTGCCAGGACACTGGGCCGGGCCTGGAGGGCTGTGGGCTCACAGCAGAGTTTGGGGCCAGCAAGTATTGGCCCTTTGCAGGTGAGCCCCCAGGCTTTTTCTTGGACCAAGCCTGTGCCCTCAGCTGTTTTTTGTTGGTTTTTTCCAGAATTACCACCCTGTTCTACAGGTTCCACACCCTTCCCCGAAAATCTGGCCTGGTGAGGGGCCCAGCATTGCTGAGTCCAGGGTGGACATGGTGCTCTCAGGGACATAAAGGGACCAGGTCACCCCATCTGCCGGGGAAGGAGCCAGGATGGGACCCAGTCTGTGTGGTTCAAATACCATCGACCAGCTTCTCAAGAGCCTTCAGTTTTGATGGTTTCACGCCAGACTATCTTAAGGAAACTGGGGAAAGCAAAATCAACATGTGTGGTGAAGTTATAAAAGTACTCCTCACACAGGCAAAAACAGCAGCAGAAAATAAGGCACCGCCCCTGAGACCAGAGCTCCGGCCAGGCGGGGCCTTCAGAGGTGCCTGGCACAGGGCTGACCCTGTTCGGTCCCTTCTGAGTGGGGACAGTGCTTGGGGGACCCCAGTGCCATGCTGTCCCTGCTGTCCTCTTGTGCAGGGGGCCACAGGAGACTCTCCCCGGCCTGTTTGCAGAACTAAGTACACTGCTGAACCCTGGACACCTGTGTTCAACTTGGGAGGAAAGTGGAAGAGATTCAAAGATTTTAAGGCTGATTGCAATGTTTTATGCCTCAGCACCCATCTCTTAGGAAAAGAGATAATCAAGCTATTTTCCTAGTGCTAGTTAAAAGTTGGAAAGATCAAACTACAACTTTAAAAATACATATTTGTATGAATAGTTACAGGCAAAACGAAAACATCTCAACCATATCCCTGACCTGCCAACTTCTTATAAAACCTCTCGGGAGAACCCCAGAAGTTCAGTGGGGGAAGATGCCCCTTGTGTGTGCCTGGGAGAATGTTCACTCACTCAGATCGCTAGATTCTGTCATCTCGGTGTGTTTGCCTATTGGTTACCAAGCCTCGTGGGAACCCGTATACTAATAAATCAGTTCAAGTGTAGGGTAAATACTGTCCAGGACGATGAAAGTTCAGGAAGAGGCAATGGGCTGTGAACAGCAGTGATGGCCGTGGTGGGTAGAGAGAAGCTTGTTACACCGTGATGAGTCTGTGATTTAAAGGACACTGGAATGTGGATGGGAATTTTGAAGCCAGGCATTCATATAATCAAAAAATGTGAAAGGCTGTCTGGGACTGAAATCTCTGTGTTTTTTTTTGTATGCATGCATGTTCTTTTGATTTGTAGATTCGATATGTATGGAAAGTTTTCTTAAATTATATTTTTTAAAAGTACGTTTCTTTATTTGGCTCCACTGGGTCTTAGTTGTGGCATTCAGGATCTTTTTAGTTGTGGCCTGTGGGATCTGGTTCCCTAACCAGGGATCAAACCTGGGCCCCCTGCACTGGGAGCATGGAGCCTTAACCACTGGACCACCAGGGACGTCCCCCCAAGGCCTTACTCTGGATGACAGGAAGCAGCATGGAGATCCCGTATAGGAACAGGACTCTGTGGGCCGGATCTCGATCTGCCACTGCCTTCCGTGGCCCATTGGGTGGTTGTAGCGGGGGCAGATAGCCCCAGGCATGGGAAGCATTGGAATCCTGCATGATCCCCAGCAACTGTTGGTGGTCATCTCTTCTTTTATACAAAAGTTTATCTCTCAGTCCCCCAAAGCCAGCAAATAGGCAGCAGGTGGAAATAGGCAGACATGTCCATCCGTCTGTCCCACTGTGTTGGCCTTGCTGTTGGCGCTGAGTGCCCAGTGCAGGTGTCAGGAGCCAAGTGCAGACAGGGCTCCGTCTGTCCTGGGGGTCAGTTCCCCACCACCGCCCTGTCCCACTTCCCTGCCCTCAGGGGAGGTTCCTTTTTGTCCCCTGGGGGACTCCAGAAGGGCAGTGCACAGAATCTGCTTTTGAAGGACCCTCCCTGGGGGGCAGCCCCTGGAAAGGTGAGGTTGGCCAAGGCTGAAGGGAAGGAGCCCATTTTAGGGGTGCAGGTAAGCGCAGTGTTGGCTGAGTGCAGCCTCTCGGAAGGTCCGCTCTGCACTGGGATCTTCACGTACGTGGGGCTGAACCAGCTGTCTCAGATGCCTCCTCTTGCTCCCTCAGCGCATCTACTATCTGTCCCTGGAATTCTACATGGGCCGCACCCTACAGAACACGATGGTGAACCTGGGCCTCCAGAATGCCTGCGATGAAGCCATCTATCAGGTGTGGTCCCTGGGGCCGGGCTGCTGGGGTGGCCTCCTTGGGCACCAAGCCTTAACCCAGGCCCTGTGGAGGCGAGTGCTGCCGTCTGGGACCAAACACTCGGGCATGGGCGGTGGGGGATGGGTGGTGGATGACGCCCCTTTTCAAGGAGAGAAAGTGAGGCCTGGATGGGAGCTAATGCCCAGAGGGCAGAGACGGGGGCGGATTATGATGCCGAAACTCGAAGCTTCTAGACCATTGTACATGACATGCCTACCCCACATGGCAGAAATGCCTGATATTGTTCCATTTCTCTTTATTGATCTGGTGGCCCACCTCCAGCTCCCCTCTCCTACCCTAAAGACACTTGTCCTGCACCTGCTTGTAAAATTGACCTTTTCTCCTACTCGGAATTGTTGTCGTTCAGTCGCTAAGTCATTGACAACTCTTTGCAACCCCATGGGCTGCAGCACTCCAGGCTTCCCTGTCCATCACCAACTCCCGGAGCTCACTCAAACTCATGTCGATCAAGTTGGTGATGGCATCCTATCATCTCATCTTCTGTCGTTGCCTTTTCCTCCTACCCTCAATCTTTCCCAGTATCAGGGTCTTTTCCAATGAGTTGACTCTCTGCATCAGGTGGCCAAAGTATTAGAGCTTCCATGGACAGAGGGGCCTGGTGGGCTATAGTCTATGGAGTCACGACTGAGTGACAAATACAAGCAATAGAAAATACAGGGAGGCATGGATCTTTTTAAACATTGTACATTCTTTTCCCCTAAAATGCTGTTTCACTTGCTGCTTAGCTTTTAGTTAAGCTTGTGTTGGGGAGATTTCCGTGATGACGGAACTTGAGAATCTCAGGCACATGTTGGCAGTGCCTGCCTTTTAGGCAGGATGTGGGTACCAGAGGCTGTGAGCTGGAGTGTTAATGGTGCAGGGCTGGAGGGCCTCCTCCCCAGGCTCCCCAGTTACAATGCAGTGTGAAAATAAAACACGCGAGACTTCCCTGGTGGTCCACAGGTTAAGACTTGACCTTCCAATGCAGGAGGTACCGGGAGCTAAGATCCCACATGCCTCATGGCCAAAAAAGCATAAAACAGAAGCAATATTGTAACATGTTCAATAAAGACTTTTTAAAAAATATTTTAAAAAAGAAAAAAACATCCCACTGCTGCATCACCCCAGGCTCCAGTTCCAGAGCAGGTTCCGCTAAAAACTAGAAATTCAGAAGAAGCCATTCTCTCCTGAGTGTGCTATCAAGGACACACTTAAAATTACAGGAAAGTTTAAATATACATGGAAATTGACTGCTATGATGAACGTCTTCACACACCATCATCACCTGGCTTCCCCAGTCCTCAAGCCCAAGTCATGGCTGGTCTTATTTCCCGTACAGCCCCACCACTCCCAAGTTATTTAAGAGCCAATATCAAATGTCGTAATAGTTCACATGTAAATATTTCACTCGATATTTCTTTTCTTTTTCTTTGGCCAAGCTTCACAGCTTGCCAAATTCCTCTATCCTTCACTATCTCCCAGAGTTTGCGCAAACTCATGTCCATTGAGTTGGTGATGCCATCCAACCATCTCATCCTCTGTCGTCTCCTTTCTCCTCCTGCCCTAAGTCTTTCCCAGCATCAGGGTCTTTTCCAGTGAGTCAGCTCTTTGCATCAAGTAGCCAAAATTCCTATTTTATAAGTAAGTTCATTTGTACTATTTATTGGTTTGCACATATAAACAATATCACATAGTAGTTGCCTTTCTCATCTGGCTTATTTTGTTTAGTATGATAATCTCTAGTTGCATCCATGTTGCTGCAAATGGCACTATTTTGTTCTTTTTTATGGGTGAGTAATATTCCATAGATACACACCACATCTTCTTCATCCATTCATCTTTCCATGGACATTTAGGTTTTTGTTTCCGTGTCTTGGCTATTGTGAAGAGTGCTGCAACAAACATCGGGGTGCATGTGCCTTTTCAAGTTAGAGTTTTCTTCTGATTGATATATGCCTAGGAGTAGGATTGCGGGATCATATGATAGTTCCCTTTTTAATTTTTTGAGAAACATCTGTACTATCCCAATGGCTGTACCAATTTACATTCTCACCAGCAGTGTAAGAGCGTTCCCTTCTCCCCACATCCTAACACCAATTTTTTTTTTTTTACTTTTTCAACCACTTTGTTATTATTTTTGTTTTAATTGGAGGCTAATTACTTTACAGTATTGTAGTGGTTTTTGCCATACATTGACATGAATCAGCCATGGGCTCACAGCAAATTTTAATGTTGCGTTCTCAAGTCTAAAAGAAAGCAGACTCTAACCTCTGATTGCTACAAGCTCACAGGGTTTAAATATCTTTCTACCTATTACTTGAGGGAAAATATGAAGTATTATTAAAATGTTACCTCTCTTTCTGTTCACAGTTGGGACTGGATTTGGAAGAACTGGAGGAAATAGAAGAGGACGCTGGCCTGGGGAATGGAGGCTTGGGGAGGCTCGCAGGTAACCCCGGCCCCTGTCCAGAACAGGCTTTTCCTGACACAGTGCTTGGTCAGTGAGCAGCACACAGCGAGGCCAAGGTCAGCCGTGCTCCCAGCGCTGGCCTGTCGGGGCAGACTGGTCACTCAGAGTGGATGGGACAGTGTGTCCTCCAGGTCGAAATCTTTGCCACCAGTAGGAAGGAAAAAATGCAGCTTATGCTATTCTCTTTCATACAAGGGGTGCTTCATAGTTATGGAGACCAGTCTTGCCAATCCTGGGGACCTGGTGCAGAGAGGTTTCTGACATACCTGCCACCTTCCTGATGGGGAGGAAGACAAAGGGATAGAATCACACACATTTACGAACATAGCCCAACTTAAAGCACCTGCTCCTGCCTTACTGCAGTGAGCTGACTGCCCTGAAGAGGCAGAGCTGTTCCTCTCGTAGCTGTCGCTCCCTTCTCAGCCAATTTGAGAGCAGCCTCAGTTTGGTGGTTTTTTTCATTTAGGGTATTTTCCCCCCCTTGTTTTAATTATTTTTGCTGACCTTTATGGGGTGAAGGAGCTGGGTTAAGAACTTGGAAGTGGAAGCAGCAGTCCCAGTGAGGCTGGATCGCACTGTGTCCTGCTGGGCTCTTGGGCCCGGAGCTTCTGGAGCAGAGAGGATCAATTCTGTGCCACCCTGGAGTGTGTGGGGCCCCAGAGTTTACAGTACCATGCGATGGCCCCGCCTGCCCCTTCTGAGAGGCATCCTCCTGTGAAGGGAGCAAATGCCCTAACATTGATCTCTGTGTGTGTGTGTTTATGTTTTCAGAATCCAAGTTAAATTCTGCAGATATTATAAGTGCAGCATATGTTTCTGGCAGATGAAACATCCCACAGATCTTCACCCTTGGCCGGGTCTGCCCCACATCCAGGGAAAGACCCTGTGCACCCCACTTGAGGGTGGGGACGGTGTTTGGAGATGGGCCGAGTTTGGCCGTGTCCTTCGTGTTTGTCCCCCTTTCCACGCCCTTAGGTAGTCCCCACGCTGATGCTGTTTTGGCCGTAGGCTCTCAGGTCGAAGAGCCTCAGCAGTGGCCCAGCAGCCTCAGCCTTTCCTTTTCATGAGACCTGAGGCCAACACGTCCCCACGGAGCCACTGCCTGCCACCCTGGGGGCTGCTCCCCCCACACGGGGTGTCTGCTTGCCTCGGTGTCTGGGCCTGGGCTCTGAGGCCTTGGATCTGCTGATTGTCCCTGTGTTTGGACTTCCAGCCTGCTTCCTTGACTCGATGGCCACCCTGGGCCTGGCGGCGTACGGCTATGGGATCCGCTATGAGTTTGGGATTTTCAACCAGAAGATTGTCAATGGCTGGCAGGTGGGTGTGGTTTTCTTCCTTCGCTCACTTGGCGGCCCGCGGGCACACAAGAAAGTAACCAGGCACTGTCGGATCTGCTTCTGGACTTTCTGCTCCTCCAGGGAGGCTGCGTTCCGGCCCTGGGCAGAGTGGAGGGGGCAGGGGGTCGGTGCTGAGGGCCCCGGGCGCTCCGTGCTCTGCGTGCCGTCCCCTCAGTCAGCAGGGCCTGTCACCCGTGCGTTCTCATTGCACGTGGCTTCTGTGTGGCGACAGGACACCTGGAGGGCTCGGGCCAAAGCCTGGCTGGGCCTCTTGTATTTGGGAAGATGCTGCTTCTGCAGACAGCTCGTGGTCCTGCTCCGCAGAGGGGACCAGGCTCTGACGTTGGCATCTCACTGATGTACAGGAAAGGAACACCTTCCTGCCACCAGGAAGTCAAAGGCAGGACCAGTTCTGTGATGAGTGTCTGCCTGCTCCAGGCAGAAGGGTCTCGCCTTCTATGGAGTCCTGAGAGAGGGACTCGGGAAGCAATAACCTCAGCCACGTCACTGTCCCCTCCTCAAATGCTCCTTCTTGGGACTTCCTTCCTTTCTGTCTCTGTGACTTGGCTGTCCTGGACGTGTGGTGTAGACAGAGCCATCTTTCTTTTGTGCCCTGACTGTCCTGGTCATATCGTGTAGATGGAGTCACATGGTGCGTGGACTCTGAGTAACATCTCGAGGTTCGTCAGTGTGCCTCAGGACTTCTCCCTTTAACTGCTGAATTCAAGCCATTCTTAACATCTTTTTATTTTGATCTGTTCTTCTGCATTTTATATGAATTTTTTTAATAGTCTGAAAGTGAAAGTGAATGTTGCTTAGTCGTGTCTGACTCTTTGCAACCCCATGGACTATACAGTCCCTAGAATTCTCCAGGCCAGAATACTGGAGTGGGTAGCCTTTCCCTTCTCCATGGGATCTTCCTAACTCAGGGATTGAACCCAGGTCTCCTGCATTGCGGGTGGATTCTTTACCAGCTGAGCTACAAGGAAAGCCCAAGAATACTGGAGTGGGTAGTCTATCCCTTCTCCAGTGGATCTTCCCCACCCAGGGATCAAACCAGGGTCTCCTGCATTGCAGGCAGATTCTTTACCAGCTGAGGTACCAGGGAAGCCCTAATAATCTGAAGCATTCACTTTTTTTTTTTTTTTGAAGCATTCACTTTTAAACCGAGAGCCTTGACCAGAATTGGGAATCTTTACCTTGTAAATCAACTGCAATTGTGTTTCCATGCTGGGGCTCATCGTCTGGGTGGCGTGGTGGTGCAGGTGGAGGGCGGGACCCACTGGTGCCCAGGTCCGCCGCCCCCGCCCTCACCTGCCACCTGCCCTCACCTGCCACCTGCCCTCACCTGTCGCCCCCTCACCTGCCGCCCCTTCAGGTGGAGGAGGCCGATGACTGGCTGCGCTACGGGAATCCTTGGGAGAAGGCGCGGCCGGAGTACATGCTGCCCGTGCACTTCTACGGGCGCGTGGAGCACAGCCCCGAAGGCGTGCGCTGGCTGGACACGCAGGTCCTTTGTGGGGAGCGGGGGTTGGGGGATAGTTTGCAGTGAGTAAGAAAGAGTCAACTGTCCAGTGATCTGGGCAGATGAGCAAAAACAGGGCAAGCCCGTGAGCCACAGGTGTTCTTGTGGGCTGTCCAGATTTGAGTCTGAACTGGGACTCAGGCCAGGCAGGCTGGCAACCCAAGATGCCAGAATAAGTTGTATTTAGTTTTAAAAAGTAGGGAAGGGGTCTGGTCTTCTAGGTGTGTGTGCCTGTAGAAGATGAGTGGACAAAGGCCTGGAGACCCCAGTGGCATGCGGTGAGGGCCTTCCCGTGGGCCCGGGCTGTGGAGAGGGCTGGAGCGGTTTGCAGATGCTTCGCAGGACTGGTCAAGGCCAGGGTCGGGGACAGGGTTGGGGGGAGATGGAAAGGAAGGATGAGGCTGGGGAGTAGCCCCCCACCCAGTCCTTTGTGGCTCTGGGAGCTGCCTTCACACTCTGAAGCCACCCTTGGAAGTGGACTTGAGTGTGAGCAGCCCCACAGGTGGGCCTGAGGGCAGCGGGGACCCGAGGCAGGGGCGCCTCTGTCGGCTAGAGCGAAATGGTGCTTCCGGGCACACAGGGATGGGGAGAAGGGAGCATGCAGGCTGCCTTGGTTTGCTGAAGTTCGAGGCCAAGGCCACAGGAGGAGTCTCCATAGACGTGGGGCATGGTCAGAAACAGCGGCTATGTGCGGGGAGAGGCTAAGTGAGTCCCAAAATCGAAGTCGCCCACGCAGAGTTGAGGGACGAGAGGGCAGGCGTGGAGGGCGGAGGCCAGGGACGCAGGAGGAGGGGCTGCCCAGGGCCCAGTGACCTTGGACACTGGCGTGGAAGGTAGAGCTGGAGGAGGCCTGGAGAGTGGTTGGTGGTGTTCGGGCCGGGAGGAGAGAAGCCAGAGGAGGGCGGGCGGCAGCCACCAGCGGGCGGCTGCTTCTGTGAGGGAGCCACCCCAGCCTTGGGGGGCGCGGCCCAGGTTGGGGACCACACTTTCCCTTGGAAGGTGGTGCTGGCCATGCCGTATGACACCCCGGTGCCGGGCTACAAGAATGACACCGTCAACACCATGAGGCTGTGGTCTGCCAAGGCGCCCAACGACTTCAAGCTCCATGACTGTGCGTCCCCTCCTGTCCCCACCTGGGGCCTGATCCCACACCAACCCCGGTTGCACTCACAGCCCATGGGGCTCCCCAGCACGGGAGGGCTGAGGGCAGGTTTCCCTGTGAGCCTTAGGCTTCCCAGGGACCCTGCGTCCTCCCGAAAGAGCCAGGGCCTGGGGCTGGGAGGGGCCGGGCAGCAGAGCAACCGTGGGGCGCCTTTTGCTCGGGAGCGCTTGTCCTCAGACCCATCAGGGCGCTTGGGAGCCTGATAGGCTTGCAGATCCTGACCCCACTCTCTGCCTTCAGTCAACGTGGGCGGCTACATCGAGGCGGTCCTGGACCGGAACCTGGCCGAGAACATCTCCAGAGTCCTGTATCCCAACGACAACGTGAGCAGCTGCTGTGGCACCAGGGGGAAGGGGGCTCTCATCTGTGCTGCCTCTCAGTGCGGGAAGCTGGGCTCCATCAGGGCCCCCGTGCGCCTCACTGGTCTCAGCTGACCTCCCGAGAGTGAGGACGGACACGGCATCCCCGACGGGGCCCAGGAGCCCCCGGCCTCACACCTCCAGTCCTCCCCATAAAGACAGGGCCGCGGAGCCCTCAGACCTCACCTGCCCCTGGAGTCTGCTCTTCAGCACCTGGTGTGGCTCCCTAAGAAGCGGGGGGTGCACTTGTCGGGTGGGGCTGGCAGTTCCTGTCCTGCAGTGATGCCTTGAGACCCACATGGTCGTGGTTTGAAAAGCTCTTTGTAGGCGTTTCCCCACATCCGAGACGGGGGTCTCAGCCACATGCTCCACGGCCCCCAGATTCTTAGCAGATGAACCCTTAGGGTTTGCCCAGCTCTGTGGGTGTGGTTTCTTATTTTACCAGCGAAATATGTGCACGCAGTAGCACAAGGCCCTGGGCTGAAGGGCTCACAGGATAATGCCCCCACTCCCCATCCCACCCCCCAAGATTGCAAGCAGAGGCTCCCACTTCAGGCGTGAGGCCTCTGGAGGCCCGCACCCCGGAGGTTGTGTTCCTGGCCTTGGCCCCTTGCAGGGCGCTGTGACCCTGTCCTGGCTGCCTGTGCACTCCCTCCCTGTCTGAGGGTCACCTGACCTTGGCCCCAGATCTGGGCTGGACCCCAGCCTGGCCCCACCCTGGAGGGCCCGAGGCCAAGACTGAGCCCAGACATGTCCTCTGGGCGTGTCCGCAGTTCTTTGAAGGGAAGGAGCTGCGGCTGAAGCAGGAGTACTTCGTGGTGGCCGCCACCCTGCAGGACATCATACGGCGCTTCAAGTCGTCCAAGTTCGGCTGCCGCGACCCTGTGAGGACCTCCTTTGAGACGTTCCCAGACAAGGTGCGTGAACAGAGGGCCAAATGGGGAGCCAAAGCTGGGCCATTTCCAGGCAGGGCCTCCTCCTTCCAGCTGCGGCGGGTCGGGCCGGGTGGGCAGCAGCTTGGTAGCCTGGGTCTCCATGTCCCCGGGGACCGGGCCTGGGATGCTGTGAAGGGCCCCGTCGGGCAGAGCAACCAGGTTGCAGGCTCAGTGGAGAGGCCAGCTGCCCACATCCGCCAGGCAGAAGCAGCATTCTAAGGTGACCTGCTCCCTGCTCCTTGCCCAGTTTCCACACTGGGACCCGGAGCTGTGACCAGGCTCCACGGGTGGGCAGCTGAGGACCCCAGTTCTGCACAAGCAGTCGAGAGGACTGAAGGGGTCGCCCCGTGTCAACGCAGGTGGCCATCCAGCTGAACGACACCCACCCGGCCCTCGCCATCCCCGAGCTCATGCGGATCCTGGTGGACGTGGAGAAGGTGGACTGGGACAAGGTGAGCACCCAGCCTGAGGGCCTGGCGTGGGGTGAGCTCCGTGCCCCACCCCGATGGCAGGGGAGGACTGGGCTGGTCCTGGGACAGGGAGCGGGGCCTCCCTGGGGACCTCAGGAGAAGAGAAGGACGCTGTCCCTGGGAAGACAGGCCCGGGGGTAGGAGTACGTAAAGGAGCGGGTCTGGGGTTTCTCCCAAGGGCAGAATGCTGAGTACAGGCAGCAGGGCAAAGTCCAGAGAAGAGCAGTTTTCTGGACAAGAAAAGGATCCTGACACTTGTTGGAGCTTCTCACGTTTGCTTTGTCATCTTAGAACTGTGGCCAAAGACCCAGAGGTGTTCAGCTTACAGAAATACATCGTTTATTTATGGGCTTGTTCTCCTCACTTCACTTATTTTGGTCCTAGACTCTTCAGTGGGGTTTTCTTGATATCACTAAGTCAACATATAAAGCCATTTTCCCCCCTTTTTTAGTGCCAGAGCCCCTTTCTGGTTCGGGGTGCACCTGTGGGTGGGGCTGAGCCGGTGCAGTTCATCTCTGGCCAGCAGAGGGTGGGGCCGCGCACTTCACCAGCTGTCCCTGGACCACGGGTGTGAAGTCAGTTTGGTGTAAATAAAGCTGCCTGGAGCTCTGTTGGGTTTGCAGAGGAAACTGGGGTGATTCCCAGGTAGTGAAGAGGTGCTCGGTCCCATGTATGTCCTGGGTCATGTCAGGAGAGTGAATCGGTTCGGTGTATGTGCTGGGTCACAGCAGGAGAGTGAAGGACAAAGCACTCACCACGGGTCTTGGAAGCTCCAGGCCCCAGAGCAGAGACGTGCAGCTGGCAGGGCCCTCCCTTGTGGCATCTGAGCGCCTGCCCCTGGCCCTGCACGTGCCCCTCGGCTTGGTGTCCAGCAGCTGGTCTTCTCTATTCACTGTGGGGTTTTTGAAGTGTTGCAAGCTGGTCTTCTCTGAGCACTGAGAAGTGTTCTGGAGTGTCGCGAGCTGGTCTTCTCTGAACACTGCGAGGTGTTCTGGAGTTTTGGGAGCTGGTCTTCTCTGTTCACTGTGGGGTTTCTGGAGTTTTGGGAGTTGGTCTTCTCTGTTCACTGTGGGGTTTCTGGAATGTTGTGAGCTAGTCTTCTCTAAGCCTTCTCTAAGCTAGTCTTCTCTAAGCCTTCTCTAAGCCTTGTTCTGGAGTGTTGTGAGCTGGTCTCTGAACACTGTGGGGTGTTCTGGAATATTTCAAGTTGGTCTTCTCTGAACACTGCGAGGTGTTCTGGAGTGTTGTGAGCTGGTCTTCTCTGAGCATTGCAGGGTTTCTGGAGTTTTGGGAGCTGGTCTTCTCTGTTCACTGTGGGGTTTCTGGAGTTTTGGGAGCTAGTCTTCTCTAAGACTTGTGGGGTGTTCTGGAGTGTTGTGAGCTGGTCTCTGAACACTGTGGGGTGTTCTGGAATATTTCGAGTTGGTCTTCTCTGAACACTGTGAGGTGTTCTGGAGTGTTGTGAGCTGGTCTTCTCTGAGCATTGCAGGGTTTCTGGAGTTTTGGGAGCTGGTCTTCTCTGTTCACTGTGGGGTTTCTGGAGTTTTGGGAGCTAGTCTTCTCTAAGCCTTCTCTAAGCTAGTCTTCTCTAAGCCTTCTCTAAGCCTTGTTCTGGAGTGTTGTGAGCTGGTCTCTGAACACTGTGGGGTGTTCTGGAATATTTCGAGTTGGTCTTCTCTGAACACTGCGAGGTGTTCTGGAGTGTTGCGAGCTGGTCTTCTCTGAGCATTGCAGGGTTTCTGGAGTTTTGGGAGCTGGTCTTCTCTGTTCACTGTGGGGTTTCTGGAGTTTTGGGAGCTAGTCTTCTCTAAGCCTTGTGGGGTGTTCTGGAGTGTTGTGAGCTGGTCTCTGAACACTGTGGGGTGTTCTGGAATATTGCAAGCTGGTCTACTCTGAACACTGTGGGATTTCTGGAGTGTTGTGAGCTGGTCTCTGACACTGGGGTTTCTGGATTATCACAGGCCTGGGAAATCACAAAGAAGACTTGTGCGTACACCAACCACACGGTGCTGCCTGAGGCCTTGGAGCGCTGGCCGGTGTCCATGTTTGAGAAGCTGCTGCCGCGGCACCTGGACATCATCTACGCCATCAATCAGAGGCACCTGGACGTGAGCACGGCGGGGTGGCGGGGGTGCACCTGCAGGGCCCGCCCGTCCTGTCGTGATGGGGGAAGGAGGGCTGCACCTGCGTCCCTGGGCCCTCCTCTTCACTCCCCATCACACCGTCAGGCCTGGGACAGGTGTTTCTTGAATAGAATAGCCTCTCCTCACAGAGGACTTGGGGCCTGGGGGCTGGCCCTTGGCAGAGGTGTTGGCTGGTCCCCACACTGGGAGCCCTGCTTTCGGGGTTGGGGGGAGCCTTTTCTTCTATATCTGAGGAGGTTCAGATGTAAGTGTCTTTTCCTGGGATGCCAGAGGCCTTTGTCCTGAAACATCACTGCAGCATTTGGGTGATGGGAATAAAGTCACCGCTGAGACATCACTACAGCGTTTGGGTGGAAACGCTTGGGGGAAAAGTCACCTGTGTCTTTTCTCTGTCAGGCATAGAGAGGATGCTGGTACAGGAATGGAGGAACTTAGGGTTCAGGTGTGATGATTTTCCTCTTTTTGATCTTTCGGTGAAAGAGTGGCTGTTCTCACTGGTAGACTGTGGTTACATCCTGCCTGGACCACTGAACACAGCATCTTCATCTCTTCCTGTGGGTCACACGGCACCTGCTCGCTCCACCAAGTCCACAGGCTGAGCCCGCAGCTCAGGGCTAGCCAGCCTGGGCTGCAGCCACCCTGAGGGAGCAGCGCCCGCCCTCCCACTCACCGTTCTGTCCTTGCAGCATGTGGCCGCCCTGTTCCCTGGGGACGTGGACCGCCTGCGGAGGATGTCGGTGATTGAGGAAGGGGACTGCAAGCGGATCAACATGGCGCACCTGTGTGTCATCGGGTCCCACGCCGTCAACGGTGTGGCAAGGATCCACTCGGAGATCGTGAGGCAGTCAGTGTGAGTGGGGGGCGCCCTTCGGCTCCCACCCCACCCCCGCCACCCGCAGTGCAGTGGCTGAGGCCGATAACCTCCCAGAGCTCAGTGGTGGGAAGGTGAACCTCTGGCTCGATGGACAATGCTGGGGGCTGAGCCCTCTTGTCACCAGGAGCCCCTCCGGCTGTCGGTGTTCTCCATCTGTCCAGGCGGAAGGTCTGCTCCTGGAGCACGTGCCTGGGGATGAGGGGCCCGGGCCGGACTGGGGGAGGTCAGGGCAGAGGTCAGGCCTGGGGCTTGTCTCCGAGAGGAAGGAGGGATTCCGAGGGCAGGTTCCCTGCTCCAGCCCCTCTCCTTGGGACAGGATCTCGGAATTCCTTCTTTTAGTCCTCATCCCAGTCCTCAAGTGGGACACCTGCTATGATCACGCCTGGCGGCCTGTGTCCCCAGTGCTGGCCTGAGGCTTTGTGTGATGTACTGTTTTTATCCCTGCTGTCTGTCCGCAGCCTGCTGTCAGGACCACTGGGAGGAGGCCAGGCTTCAGCCACCTGCCGGGGTGGTCAGGCTCCTGGGGAGGCAGAACAGCAGGCTGGGTCCGGGGCCCCTCCAGAGGGCCCTGTGCCCTTTGCCCGCCTTGTTCCAACCAGCATTTGCCCGAGTCACCTGTGGTCTGTGTGCTTAGCTTTAAGGACTTTTATGAGCTGGAGCCGGAGAAGTTCCAGAATAAGACGAACGGCATCACGCCCCGTCGCTGGCTGCTCCTGTGTAACCCGGGGCTGGCAGAGACCATCGTGGAGGTGAGGCCGGTGCGCCCCAGCCCACCTGGGGCTGTGTGGGCACGACCCACCCCCTTGCATGTGGAGAGTGGGGGCTCCTGGACAAGGGGATGGGCACTGCCGCCTACAGGTGTGACCAGCCTGGCGGTTGGTCGGCAGCCCTGGCGGCCCGTGCAGGAGTTCAGAGGGGGTCCTGGGCTTCAGGTCCAGCTTGTGAGTCCTGACGAGATGTGTGAGCTGGGGACGCAGTCATGGTTGACTTGTTCCCGTGTTCTCGAGCGGCTCCAGTGTGCAGGACCTTCCGGGAGGGGGTGTGGTGGAGAGGAGCGGCCAGAGGGGATGCAGGGTGCAGAAGCTGTGTCGCCCTCACGGTTCCGCAGAGGATCGGGGAGGGTTTCCTGACAGACCTGAGCCAACTGAAGAAGCTGTTGCCGCTGGTCGGGGATGAGGCGCTCATCAGGGACGTGGCCCAGGTCAAGCAGGTAGGCCTGGCATGGGGCCAGGAGCTTAGCCCCCACTCGGCCCTGTGGAGGGGCCCCAGGTCCTCAGGGAGAGCTTGCCTGGAGGGGGAGCACATGGGAATCAACGCAGGCCCCACATATCCACTCGAGGTGCTGTGTGCATCCCCAGGCCCCCCACAGCTGTCTCACGGCCAGGCTTTCTGGACAGCCTCTGAAGACCGAGACTGACCCTCTGTTGCGCCACTGGTCTGGCCCTGGGGGCCCAGAAATAGTGTTCACTTCAGGGTCTCCGTCCCTGTCTTCTTGTCTCCTTTTTCTGCTTTTCTCACCCTCGCTTCTCCCCCAGGGTTTGCCTGTTGGTCTGGTTTCTCGCTCAGCTCTGAGCTCTCATGCAGATCCACTCTCAGGGTCACGCTTCCCCGCTTCCGCCCACGTGGACCCCCGGCCCTCCGTGTCCTCCCTGGAACGGCCCCTCCCTGCTGCATCTCTGATGGGCTCACAGGCTCAGCCCTGTGAACACCCCACTGTCCTTACCGCTGTTCTCCCAGGAAAACAAGGTCAAGTTCTCCGCCTTTCTGGAGAAGCAGTATGGGGTGAAGGTCAACCCCTCATCCATGTTCGACGTGCACGTGAAGCGGATCCATGAGTACAAACGGCAGCTGCTCAACTGCCTGCACGTGGTCACCTTGTACAACCGTGAGTGCCCTGCCTGCACCCCCCCCACCCCGTGGACCAGACCTTTTTCTCACACGCTTGATCTGACGTGACACGTTCACTTTAAGCAGCGGCTTCTGGTTTTCTGTGTTCAGAGCAGAGCAGCTACAAGGAGTGAGATGTGAACTCAGAGGTTGGGGAGCTTGAGGCCCAGGGGATGCCCTGCCTCTGGGGTGGGGCCTTCGGATCCCTGGAGGCTGGGTTGTAGGTTCGGTGTAGCCTTTCACATTTAGTTAATTGTTATTAGACTTGTCTAAAGTTACCGGGAGACACTTTACTCAGCAAGGGAGACATTTAAGGTGCACTCTTGGAAGATGAAATAGTATGTTACATCTCTACACCTTAGTAACATTTAAGTGGCATTTAATTTTGAAGCAAATGTGAATCAAAGAACCTCCCCAACCACAAAGTCACTATGAACATTTTCTAGTTCTATAAATGAGGTAATAAAACGTCAAAGAAACCTGCATAGTTTTTAAATTTTTGTAACATAGTAATAGTAACATAGTAGGAGCAATAGTAACATAGTAATATTAATAGTAAAATAACAAAGTGGATCCTAATTTTGAAAAGGAAGGAACCACAAATACAGCTCCTCTGGAGACTGTCCGCTCCCCAGTTCCCATGAGGGAGACTTGGTCCCGAGGGCCCCACCCGATCACTCATGAGACAGTTCAGATGCCGGTTTCCGTTGAGCGGCTCTGACCCAACTCTCAGAAAAGGCTCAGGGGAGCGCCCTCCTGTGAATGTGACGCAGGCATCTCCTGGGTCAGAGACGGCAGTTCCTGAAGACCTTGTTTTGTGCCGTGGTTTGCTTTCACTGTTGTGATTTTCTGCATTTTCTTTGTCGTTGCCCCAGCGGTGCCCTCGAGTCCCCTGCTCCCGAGCAGCAGGGCGGGTCTCCCGGCGGCCTGCCCTCTGTCACTGCCCCCTCTGGTGCCCCGGGCCGCCTACTGCCCACCCCCCCCCACCCCCCGCGCCACCTCTGCTCGGGGCCTTGGCAGCGTTGGACGGGGCTGGCAGGGCGTGCACCGCCTGCCCACTCATCCGCTGGTGTGCTCAGGGCGGGTGTGTGCAGCCCCCTCGCTGTGCCCTGACTTGGGTCCCCGTCTGCTCTGAGGGCCGTCCAGTCGCCCTCCTGCTTGGCTCCTGCGACCCGAGGTCTTCCGTGTCCGTGGCATCGGCGGCCTCTCCCAGGAAGGGTAGCTGGGCTGAGGCGACATCCTCAGCCTCCCTGTCTCCTCGGGCAGCGGGAGGGTGGTCCTCAGGGGGGCAACACTCTGGGCCGGCGCTCGTCCGGCTCAGCTGTCAGCCGCTGGCCACCGTGGTCAGTTCTCTCCATGCTCACGGCCCTCTGAGCGTGTTGGTTGGTGTCTTCTATCCCGGCTAAGAAGTTCCTTGAAATACGTGGAAACCTGGATTCGGCTTCCTCCTCCCGGGGCTGCAGTGAGCTGTGTGGTTGATGCTTCTCCCACCTTCTTCTTGCCCATCGATGGCATGCTCTCTGCTTTTCTGCTCCCTGCTGTCTGCTGGTCCTGCTCCATGCTCTGTGCTATTCTCTGTGTGTCTCTCCTCCCTGTGGTTTCTGTGATCGGGTCGCACCTCATGGGGCCGTTCTGCCTCGTGGCCCATGTTTTCTCCATCTTGGTGTTGCGTTTCGGGCCGTGGTCTCCCGTCTGCATTGACCATCTTCACAAGCTGGAGACTTAGGGGCGTGGCTTCCACTTCCCTCATCTGTGGCGAAGCTGTGTGTTGGGGTTGGAAGAGCTGCATCAAGACCCCGGCTGGAGCCTCATGAGCTCAGGGCAGCTGCAGGCCTCCCAGCTCCAGACACTTCTCTGAGGCTGTGTCCTCTCTCTGTGGCGTGTCCCCTCTCCGAGGCCGTGTCCCCCCTCTGAGGCCGTGTCCCCCTCTGAGGCCGTGTCCCCTCCCCGAGGCCGTGTCCCCTCCCTGAGGCCGTGTACCCTCTCCGTGGCCGTGTCCCCCCTCCGAAGCCGTGTTCCCTCTCCGAGGCCGTGTCCCCTCTCCGTGGCCGTGTCCCCCCTCCGAGGCCGTGTCCCATCTCCGAGGCCATGTCCCCCTCCAAGGCCGTGTCCCCTCTCCATGGCCGTGTCCCCCCTCCATGGCCGTGTCCCCCCTCCGAGGCCGTGTACCCTCTCCGAGGCCATGTCCCCCTCTGAGGCTGTGTCCCCTCTCTGAGGCCACATCCCCTCTCTGAGGCTGTGTCCCCTCTCTGAAGCCATGTTCCCTCTCTGTGGCTGTGTCTCCCCCCCGCCGTGGCTTCAAGTCCAGGCTGGCTCAGGAGGTGTCATGGCTTGTGGGCTTCTGCCTACCAGGATGTCCAGGCCCCTCTCCGAGGTTTCCCTGTGGGAGAGGGGCTGACATAGTCCACCCACCCAGCCCTGGGGGGCTCTTTGCCTGCCTCCTCCCTTCCCTCCCCAGGAGGCCAGGATTCCTGAGACCCTGCGCTTACAGCCGCATCTCCCACCCATCTTGTGCCCCGGCAGGACTTGCTCAGTGATCCGGCGTTTGCATATTTTTCTTCTTTACAATGTAGCTTGTGGTTTGGGGCTTTTTTTTTTTTCTCTCTCTCTTGTTCTCTAGGTCACTCTGTCCGCTATCTGGAAGCAGGAAGATTCAAAACTCAGGGACTACAGGAACCTGAGGTCAAAGGTTAAAGATCAGCCGTGCCCCTTAGTGGATAGTGTAAATCTTGTGGCTGATTCCTGACCCTGGTGAATACTGTTCAGGGCAGCCCCGCACCTCTGTAGACACCACCACCCCGATGAAATCTGAAGACCCAGTGGCCTGGCAAGGACAGCTCATTCTGCTGGGGCTGGAGGCGAGCTGTCTGCTCCTGTGCAGGAAAGCTCTGGGGGGCTTCTCACCCTCTGTCCCAGCAAGGGGGACGCTTGGTCTCTCACTGACACCCCGCACAGGCTGACAGTTAATCACCACTGTCCCAAGGTCAACCCATTTTTGAGTGCCCATCACATGCAAGGGCCTTCAGTCCTAGTCACCAGACCCAAAAGAGCTCCTGTCTTGGGCTGTTCCAGACACAAAGGCGCAGCTTTTCCACTGAATCTTCTGGAAGAATCTGCTCCTGGTTAGTCTTTGGCACCAACCTGGACGCAGTGCAGAGTTCTGTAAACGGAAGCTCCTGGCGGCACACCGCTTGCATCAGGCTGGTCTCTGAGGACACTTGTTACCGAGGCAAGCACAGGGCTCAGGCATGTCTGGCTCCAGTTGCCTTACTTGGTTTTCTTCTGTTTGTCTTACAGGAATAAAGAAGGACCCGGCCCAGGCCTTTGTGCCCAGGACTGTCATGATTGGGGGCAAGGTGAGGTGACGGCTTCTTTGCTCTTGCTTGGTGTTGGGCGGGAACATACAAACCACCATGCTTTTCCGCAGTGTCCCTGTATCTGGGCTGGACGCTGCAGGTGGCTAGGCACCGACCTGCACACAAAGCCCAGAGGTCCCTGCCTCAGTGATGCCTCTGGGCCAGGACGTTCAGGTGTCTCATCAGCTCGGCCACAGGAAGGGAGCTGGATGGGACCCCTGCCTGCCCAGGGCAGTGGGGTGCCCAGGGCCAACCTCCAGTGGGGAAGCACCCTTCCTTGTTGTGATTGTCAGCGTTCCACATGTCCCATGCACTTTTGTGCTGAGTGGACACCGGTCACTGGCTGCTTCATCAGCTAGATGTGAGCCTGCTCTCAGCCTGGCCTCACGCATTTTATTTACCGTGGCACGTGCTTTAGGACATGTGATCACAGAGTCCCAGTGTGTCGCCAGGGAGCATCGGCAGGTCCCACCACAGGTCTCTGGACTCTAGCCCCCATGTCCCCACCCTCCGCCACTTTTCCACGGAGCCTGGGCACGGCTGCTTCATGGGGCTGCAGGCGGGCCCAGGTTTGTTCTCTGCTGCAACTTGAGCACCTCCACAGGTGGAGGCATGTGGGCTCCCCCAATTCAGACAGCAGCTCACACCTGCCTTTTTCTGTCTCAGCCCCCCCACCCCACCCCTGACTCCTGTTCCTGAAACAGATTCTGGACAGTACTCTTTCATTTGTCAGTATTTCCATACGCATTTCTCAGAGATGGGGACTGTCAAAAAGTTTTAAAATGTTTTTTAGAAATGAGAATCTAGAGAAAAAAAGAATCGTAGAACATCTGCAAACCTGTTGCCTGACTTTTGCTAAACCTTTTCGAAGTAGATTACAAAAGTAGATTACAAACATTTCACCCCTAAGAACTTCATTAGTTGTCTTCCCAATGACATTTTCCTGCAAAACCACACAACGCCACCATCACACTTACAACACTTGACAAGAATTCCTCCACGTCATTAAATATCCAGCCAGGGCCACATGCCTGGCTGTCTTATTAGAAATCTTGAGTTTGTTTGAATCAGGATCCAGTGAAGTTCTCACATGGCGCTGGGCAGCTGTGTCTCATCCATAGGTTTTCGTCCACATCCCCCCTTTTTTCCTCTGCAGTTTTTTACTGAAATTGGGTTGTCTCCCCCAGACCATGTCCCTCTGGTATCTCCCAGAACCTTCATGGGTTCCCCGTGTTTCCTGTAGTTTGGTAGTCAGTTCTCAGGGGTCCTTGTTCCCTCTCTCCATTTCTAAAAAACAAACTAGAATCAGGAAACCAAGCTTGAGGCTGACTGATCTGTGCATGTGGGTAAAGGGCTGTCACGAGAGGCGCTCAGTCGGCACCAAGGGGGCGGCTGGGGTGCTGTGCCCTGTGGGCACAGGTTGAAAGACACACAAGGATGCCATGACCTCAGCCCCCATGGGGCCCCCTCCCACCAGCCGAGCCACTCAGCTGGGCGCATCCAAGCCGGGCTCCAGCGACCCTGCCCTGAGCACAGGGTATGTGCTGTGTGACCCTTTCCCCGTGGCAGGCAGCGCCCGGCTACCACATGGCTAAGAAGATCATCAAGCTGGTCACGTCCATTGGTGACATCGTCAACCATGATCCGATTGTGGGCGACAGGCTCAAAGTGATCTTCCTGGAAAACTACCGGGTGTCCTTGGCCGAGAAAGGTGAGCCTGCCCTGCCTGGCTGCAGCGGGTGGTCCTTGCTGGTCAGGGCCTGTCTTGCCTTCAGGCAGATTAATGGCCCTGACACCACGTTCCCCAGCCAGAGGGGCCCCGGTCTGGTAGCCAAGGCCCTGGTCTTTGTACTTCCTGCCCTCCCCTCCTCGTGCCTCCGCCCCTCAGCTTGGCCTTCCTGCCCCTGGGCTCGTTCTTGGTGGCCCATGCCCCCCACCCTCCCCCTGCCCCAAGGATGATTCTGCTTGTCCCCACCTGTTCACTCTGGCCTGCATCTGCTCTGGGGGCGTCTAGCTGGGGCCCTCCACTGTGGGGGTCCTGGGTACGTGTTGCCACCCAGAGAAGGGCCTGTGGCCACATGTGGCTCAGAGCAGGGTTCTCCTGAGCTGGACTGGCCTTTCTAAGGCAGCCGCTTCTAGAGACCTGGCAGGAAATGCTAGGAAACCTGAGCCTGGAATCGTGGCCCAAGTTGTAGCCCCTCTGGTCCAGGGGACTGTACGCTGCCCTCCAGCATCAGTGGAGGGCAGGCTATCACACTCCTTCCCCCTCCAGTGCGGCTTGGTCATCAACATCATCCCTGTGGTCCCACCACTGCCCTGGACCATCTGTGGCACCAGGGTTGTGTTGTGGTTCGTGCTTCACTGAGCTTCTCACAACGTCTCAGGCCCTATGCCGCCTGGAACTCCCAGGCTAGCTCTTGCACTTCCTAGAACTGACCTCGGGGACAGCCTGGGGTCAGGCCTCATGCTCCCCAGCTCTTGGACTTGCTGTGGTCATGTGTCCACCATCCTGTCTGCCCGTGTCCCTCTGTCCGAGGGGCCGGGGGTGTCTATGTCTCCATCCCAGCACCTGGCCCTGACCATCAAGACGGGGCTGGACTCTGGACTTGGCTGACCCCGAGTGCCCACTGGCCGGGTCAGGGAAGCAGCATCTGTCAGCCCTGAGGACCCGCTGAGGATGCGGGAGCAGGGTCGCTGAGGCAGGCAGGATGGAAGCCGTGCTCCTGCCGCCATGGCGAGACACAGGAACCCGCATGTGGGAGAAGCTGCCCAGCTGCTGGGGGGTTGTGACTCGGCTGCTATGCCCAGGCTGTACAGAGGGACTCCCAGGCATAAGGCCACGGGAAGACTGTCCCCGGTCCTCTGCTCCTGTGAGAGTCGATTCCTTTCAAAGTCATTTAAGGAGCCTATGGGCTGATGGACTAAGACAGCAGTGATGTCAGGATACAAGGGAAAGAATACCCAACCCAGCTTTGGTATGGCCCTGGTCCACAGGTTCTAGGACAGAGGTCCTCTGCCACCTGCAGGGCTTCTCGGCATTCCACGTGGACCCACTGCCTCAAGCTGCCCTTGGTCGGGAAGGGGAGCTGTGCGGGGTGGGGGGCAGTGCATGGTGTCCCCTGGCCGTTCCTGTTGCTCTTGTGCCTCCTGACTGATGGGTCTTGTCTGCGCCCCACTCCCCGCAGTCATCCCCGCCGCCGACCTGTCTCAGCAAATCTCCACCGCGGGCACTGAGGCCTCAGGCACGGGCAACATGAAGTTCATGCTCAACGGGGCCCTCACCATCGGCACCATGGACGGGGCTAATGTGGAGATGGCTGAGGAGGCCGGGGCCGAGAACCTCTTCATCTTTGGCCTGCGGGTGGAGGATGTGGAGGCCCTGGACCAGAAAGGGTGGGTTCTTCTCGAGGCCTCCATCTCCTCTAAGTGTCCTCACACCCGTGGATACCTTGAGGGGGTCCCAGCTCAGCCTTGTTGCCTGAAATCCCTCAGGGGACCCGGGGAGGCCTCAGGCACCAGGGGCTGAACCCAAATGGTGGGAACCGTGTCAGCCTGCAAGCACTGCCCCTTCTGGCCTTGCCCCGTGTCTGCCGCACGCCTCCCTCTCCCCGGATTCCCTGATGGCTCTCAGGTCCGACTTCACACGTCATTTTCTTCTGCAAGGTCCTGGCACGGACTGGGGGTGGGGGCTCTGCGGGACCCTTTGAGCAGCCCCTCCTGAAGGACCATCTCAGCCACATGTTTGTACCAGGAGGAGGTGGAGGTGACGTGCCCTCAGCAGCCAGCCCAGCCTGACTGGGCCCGGCCCTGCCTGCTCACGAGTCCGCCATCTCCTGCAGGTACAACGCCCACGAGTACTATGACCGCCTGCCCGAGCTGCGGCAGGCCGTGGACCAGATCAACAGCGGCTTCTTCTCCCCCAGGGAGCCCGACTGCTTTAAGGATGTTGTCGACATGCTGCTGAACCATGACAGGTGGGATAGGACCCTCGTCCCTCCCCACCGCTGGCTCAAGACCACACATCACTTGGGGTGAAGCCTGGGCTTCGGTGAGGCTCACCCCCACCTCAGCCCACGACCAGAGGCTTGGCCACATCCAGGCACTTGGGCTTGTGGGGCCTCTGACTGTGCTTGGCGAGCCTCAGAGCCTGGTGATGGGATTGCATGACAAGCAGGAGGTGATGTCACGTCTGTGGGTGGATGGAGGTGACGTGCCTGGGATGCAGGGAGCCTGGGTGTTAACCACTCCTGGGAGTCCAGCAGTGGTTCAGGTGGAAAGAACTTGTGAGGCTACAAGTCTCCACTTGGTTCGTGTTTTATGACAAGGCCACTGACATGGGGTGATGCTCCTCTGGGCACAGCCTTGCTCACTTGTCACAGGTCGACAGTGGCATCTGCCTTGACCACAGGCCTCTGCTCCACCCTGGTAAAAGGCGGGTCTGCTGAAGGCTGAGAATCGACCTTTATTCCACTTTCGGTTCCTGTGGGTTAGTCTGTTGTGTTCCAGTGAATGTCATCTGCTGGCTTCTGTCAAACCTGATCATAACTCCATGCACATCTGGGGCTGGGCGCTCAGCCCTGCTGATTCTGGGATCCAGGAGAGACTTTACAGGGTTCTATGAATCGTGATCCTGAATCAGTTGTAAACAAAACACATTTATGTGTCATAAATCCTGTACCACCAGTTGTCAGCTGACGAGACCTGAGAACAGGTGGTGGTGAGTCTACATCCCCTGGGCCCCCCTGGAGGTGGAGGGGACCTTAGTCTGTGTTCCTCTAGCCGAAGGGCACGGTTTCTTTCAACAGCATGGGGCTATAATAAGGTTTTTCTAGAGTAGTATCTCCAGGACAGCACTGCTGCTCAGAGAGCAGCCACTGTGGCCACCCCTGTCCTGTAGAGCACAAGGACGCAGCCAGCCAAATCTGGGGGCCCTTTTTCTGACCTCCCATTTGCCACCCGCCCAGCCCAGCTTCCTGTCTCCCATTTCAGGTTCAAGGTGTTTGCGGATTATGAAGCATACGTGGCGTGCCAGGCCCGGGTGGACCAGCTGTACCGGGTGAGATTCTTGGGCCCTGGCAGGGAAGTTGCAGGGTGGGACCGTGTCCTGCTGTCTCAGGCCACTCCCGGGAGCTCACAGCTGACCTAGTGGCCCAGAGCAGGTCAGGCTTCTTCCTCTCTTGCTCAAGGACTGCCTCAGCTGGGCAGCTGCCTGGGCTATCACCTGGGACCCTTGGGGCCAGGCTGCTGTCCACACCAGCACACATGCCCCTGCAGCCTGGGCGCCGCCACAGAGCCGGCGGGCAGGGCAGGATCTTGCTCCCAGAGGCGCTGCCACACCCCAGCTCAGTCTGACTGCCTGCGCGCGTGTGAGGAGGACATGAGGGGCATGAGGCCTGAGGCAGGAGACGCGGCTCGTGGGCAGCGAAGACCTTTGTGCTTAAAGGGAGGTGAATGGTTTCTCAGGCAGTGGACGGGTCACCAGCGAGCAGGGTGAGGACCTGCAGCTCCAGGGCGGGCACGCTAGAGCTGGCTCTCCACTGCCGCCCCAGGTCCCGCCTCCGTGTGACCTGCGGGGAGCGGGCACAGCCAGGGGAGCCTCCCGGGAAGACTCAGCTCCTGAGCCTGGGGAGGTGACGGGGTGTCATAGCCCGTGCACCTGGCCAGGCTTGGCCGCAGGAGGGGACACTGGCAACGGGGGCGTGGCTCTGTAGTCGCTGCCCAGATTGTCAAAGCAGGTTTTTGGACACAGCCCGAGGGGCTTGTATCTCACCATTCCCCTCAACTCAGGAAACAGCTCCTGAAGTCTCCTCCTGAGACAGGACAGGAGGGGGCCTGGGAGGCCAGGTGACCCCAGGCTCAAGGAGGTACCCTGACCTCCCTTCGAGGAATGCCCTCCTGGCGCTGGCTGCAGTCTGGGGGCAAATCCCCTCCTGGCAGGGTGTCTGCATTGTGTGCACTCTGCCCTGGCAGGACCCCTCAGGCTCCAGGCCGTCTGCTCACCTGGAAGCTTTCCTGGTGGGTGGGCCCCCTTCCCAGTGAGCTCTAGCTGTGAGGGCCTGCCTTCCGTCAGGCTGCCCAGGGCTGAGCACATCTGGGAACAGACTGAGGTCACTGAGCGCCAACCTCCCTCTGCAGAACCCCAAGGAGTGGACCAAGAAGGTCATCAGGAACATTGCCTGCTCGGGCAAGTTTTCCAGTGACCGGACCATCACAGAGTACGCCCGCGACATCTGGGGCGCGGAGCCGCCTGCCCTGCAGGCCCCACCGCCCAGCCTCCCCAGGGACTAGGCCCCAGCTTTCATCCCCTTGCTGACTCTGCCCGTTGTCTCCAAGCATTTTGCTAGCGCCCTGCTTCTTTCAGTGCCACTTCCAGGAGGGTTGGGGTAATCGTGGTGGTGGCTTTGAGGGGCTGGGGTGTGGAGATGCCTCCTCATTGCCTGCCAGAGAGCAGGTCCCAAGCACTGACAGGGCTCGCCCCCCACACACCCCCACCCCCCAGGATGCCCACTCAGCTTCCCCACAGCCTTGTACAGACCTGTGTGAGCTCATATTCAGTTTTGAGCCTCTGCACTCTGGAGTCCAGTCAGGTAGCCATGACAAAGCTTGGGCAAGCGTGTGGTTCTGCAGCACACAGGCTGGCCATCCAGTCTCTCCCAGCCCAGCTCTGCCTCCTGGCCCTGCTGGGAGGGTCCAGGGCGCTGGGCCATGTCCTAATAGCGGCCATGTGTGCACCCGACCCGGGGTTTCCAGATTGAGCAGGTAGCAGGGCCCCAGGGGAACTGAGGGTGACACTGGTGAGGACACCTGTGTCCAGAACCAGGGGCTTTGGTTAGGACAAGGCTGGCTGGTGCAGAATTGGTTCAATTTTGCTTTTTCAAAAGATCTTTCACAAGGAAATGAAACTAGCTGAGGTTTTCCTTGTTTTAGCAAGGGAAAATAGCACTTTTGAAGTTTATGCCTAGGGAGGCAGTGCTGGGGTGTTTTCACTTGGGGTCCCCACCTAGCTGGATAAGGCTGAATGCCCAGCCCTGCGCCAGGCCTGCACCCTCCCTCTGCCCGTCAGGCAGGAGGCAGCAGGACAACCTGGTCTGGAAAAGGACTGGTGGGCCCAGAGGGGAGCCCACCCTCCATTCTACCCAGACAGCAGGATGGCACCAGGGATGGCGGCTGAATGGTGGGAAGGATGAAGCCTGGGAGCAGGCGGGAGCTGGGGGCAGAAGCTTGTGGAGGCTCTGCACTCTCACATGCTGGACCTGGGTGGCTCGGGCCTCTGCCCTCACCCCACCAGAACTGGGGGGTCTGCAGTCGTGCCCCCAGCACCCATTGCTGCCCGCTCTTTAGCCCAAGTGTGACTGTCACTGTGCCCCTTGCTGTCACTGCCTCGTGTGAGAAAAGCGATTAAACCTGCTTGTGCTCAGATGCTCTGGCCTCTGCGTGTCTCTGCACCCAGGGCGCTGTGTGTCCCAGCCTGGATACACTATGGCCCACCGCTCTGGGACTGGGGACAGAACGTTCTCTCACCCAGCTGCTGTGGGACTCGGAGCCCCGTGAGCCTGAGTCATCAAACCCAGCATTGGGAAAACGTCAGCTGAGTGTTGGCGTTTTGGGTGTGAATTGTACTGCTCTTTTGCACCTGTCTTTTGTCACCCACTCCTGGTCCTGGGAAGTGGAACTCCTGGGGACCAAATCATTCCCCTCCCCAAACTATATGGCTGCAAGTTAAATAAAAAACCCAGTGAGATGTGAACTCAGGGCTCAGTGTTACCCAGAGAACCCAAGTGTTGGGGGAGGGGCACCTGGTCTCGGGTCTGGGGCAGCTCCCAGGACACTTGCTTCCACAGGCTGTGACCACAGATCAGTGTGGGCATCTCGAGCTGTTCTTAACCACAAACTGACTTTGTGACTCAACAAAGGGTCAGTCCTACTCCACAGTTTAAGCTGAGCTTCTTGGACTGAGGTAATAAGCGGAGACACCCCCAGGCAGAGACATGTAGACCTAATTACATGAAAGGTGTCGAGGGCGGGAGCTACCTGCTCAGCAACCTTGTTATGCTTTATCTTCAGGCTGTCAGACCTGTAAAAACACTAACAGCTTGTATTTTTACTTTATATCTTACTTTATCCTCCCCACCCACCCCCCACCGTAAAATCTGAGGCAACTTACACAGACAAAATTTAAAGAAAAACAGGATGAAGGCTTGAGCCCAGGCAGAGCAAGCGAAGTGTAGACAGTCTCAGATGGCCTCGCTGGTCAGGACGAGCAGGGGATGTGGCTCTGGGCTGTGGGGCTGCCAGGAGCCCCAGTGACAAAGCTTGAGAAGCCCATGGGGGCCGCCCTGACCACATGGGCTTTGTGCTTTAGTTACATGAAGGCAGTGTCAGATCAGGATAGGTATCCCAGAAAGCTAAGGGGATGTGAAGCTGAGGACCAGGTGGCTGAGAACTGCCATGGGCAGATCTAAGGTGTTTTGAAGAGGGTGTAATCTCTTGTTTCTGGGCCTCCAGCCAGTTCACAGCTGCTCACAGGCCAAGGGCAGTAAGGGAGAGAAGGCAAATAAGCTCCTCCCCACCCCGGGGAATTTCTGCACTGACTCGAAAGTGTCAAAGCCTAAGGATCTAGGGGAGGAAGACCTGCCTTTAGGAGAAGGTGAAAGTTACTCAGTTGTGTCCGACTCTTTGCGACTCCATGGACAGTACAGTCCATGGAATTCTCCAGGCCAGAATACTGGAGTGGGTAGCCTTTCCCTTCTCCAGGGGATCTTCCCAACCAGTATCAAACCCAGGTCTGCATTACAGGCAGGATTCTCCACCAGCTGAGCCCCAAGGGAAGCCCAAGGAGAGTGAACCAAAGTCCTCTGCCCTGAGACTAGCCCTGTACTGTACGGTGTGCAGCCCCCTTAGAAAGCCACACACCATCTCCCTCTGGGGGTGAGAGGAGGGTGGTGAGTGGGCACTGGCGTTGTGCGTGGGAGGTGGGCTTGGCCAAACGCCACGACCAGTGAGTGAACAAGCTGACACTCCCAGGGCAGAATGGGAGTACCTGGACTCCAGCAGCCTGAGTCCTTTCACGAGTAGCCAGGGGCTCGTCCCGGGTCTCTGAGGGAAACCCCACTGCCCATCCATCGACACAGCAACATTCAATGAGCTTGTTAACTGTAAGGTTGAAAGGCTCACCCACAAAGACCTGGTTTTAGGAAAAGGCCATCTGCCCCACCGGAGAAGACAACCTCCCCATGAACATGCCTCCGACACAACACCCCTCCCTGTGGGACCTCAGTGTCTGCAGGAGCTGGAAGAAACCCCGCAATCCTTAGCCTTACAGAGCCACCCCCTCCTCACATGGCTGGGTTCAGAGAGTGGCCTGGGGCTGTGGGCACAGCCTGGACACCGCTGGAGGCAGCAGTGAGAAAACAGATAGACCACCACCACGATTTTATTCTTAAATAAATGCTCAGTCTAAGGCCTGGTTAGGCAGACAAGTGGGTGGACATCAGAGGAAGGCAGGTCACCGGCCCCTCCCCAGCAGGGAGCAGCGGGGCAGCCCAGGGAGGCAGGGACAACGAGGAAGGCAAGCAGGGTGGGCAGGGCAGGAGGGGCTGGTAGAGCCATGAGCGTCCATTCTGGAGGGAACAGAAAGAACCCACGTTCGCCCACGTTCTCAAGGGTGGTGCCAGAAAGCTCAGCGTGGTCCCAAGACCCCTCACCTCCTGTCCTAGGCTCCCCGTGCCTGGCTCAGGAGGTATGGGATCAACTAGCCAATGGCCAGAAAGTTCTGTCACTGTCTTCCCAACAAGCCCTCCGGCTGAGGGGCAGCATGAGGGGGAGAGGGTCACATGCCGCCTCCGCGTGGTCCACAGAGACCCCTGCTCCCCGCCACTCAGGACAGTGCCTCAGGTCTGCCAGGGCTTCCCCTGGCATCCGTGTTCCCTCTCCAGGCGCATCTCTGGGGGGCCAGGCTGGCAGGAGGAAAGGGGGACGAGGGCAGAGGCCTTCATGTTCCCAGGCGCGAGCAACTCAGTGCTGGCGTCCCGGTTCCGACTTCCCCAGGAACTCCCTGGAGCAGAGGAGAACAGCTGTCAGCCAAACCCCTCCGGGCCAGATCGGAGACCCCGCCTCCCACCGTCCTCCCACAGCCCACCCGGGAGGCCGCAAAGAAGCTCCAAGGACCACACCCTGCGAGGCAAATGGGCAGGGTGCCAAGGGCAGCACCAAGTCAAGTCCTGACAGGGAGTGAGGACAGGTCACTGCACCCCGATGCTGGAGCGGCTCTCTGGTCTACATTTTCTGTGATGTGTGCCTTTTACAGGGAAAAACCACAGTCCCAGAGCAATGCCATGCTCTTACCATCCCCTCTCAGCAACACACATTCCATGTGCCAAGAAATGTCAAGACCAAAGAGCTGTGCCCCTGGGACTTCGAGGGCCTCACATACCAATGGAGTTCCCCAGCACACATTTCTCCAAGGGCTGATTCCAGCAGCCTGGGCTCAGCAGAGGCCCCGCAGCCAGGACGTGGGGACAGCCTGCACCCCCGAGTGGGAGGCAGGGAGCGTCTGGTCCATCGAAACCCTTCCCTCTGCCATCCGGGCACCCTCATTCCCAGGCTTGGGACAGGTGGCTGGGCTGCAGCCCACGTGCCGGCCTCCCTCCCTGAGGCATCTGGAGACCAACAGGCTTTAGGGGAGCTGGCCCAGACCTGCATTACCCCTACCACACAAACCCCATGCAGGGGCAGTGACCTGACGGGCCTGTGGGAGGGGACGGGGGCCTGAGCACAGCAGCCGTGGTGTCCTCACTGCCCGACCACACACAGGGGACCGCAGCCCAGCAGGCCACATGTGCTGACACCAGACCCCCTTGACCAGCCCGGCACGACTGTCCCAGCTGTGGCCACAGGGGCTTGCCCAGCTCCCGCATGCCATCCTGCGTGGCGGATGAGGGTGGTGCCTCACCTCAGGATCCGCGGGAGCTCAGGGCTCTTGTAGATGTACTTGTGTCTGTAGCCGAGGTCCGAGTGGAAGGGGATGAACTGAACCTTGAAGTCCCGGAAGCTGCGTGACGGTGCGGCGATGTTGTAGAGCTGGGGGAGGGAGAGGAGGGTCGGCGCCCGGGGCCTGGGGTGACCTGCCTCAGCCACAGGACCCTTGGGCCACCCCTCAAGGCCCTCTCTGTCCTCACCCCGTCTCAAGACCAGCCTTCCTCAGGGGCCCTCAGCACCCTCAGGCCACCTGCCCCGGGATGCCATGGTGGCCTGAGTGCCCAGGGCAGCCTGACGGCTCTGTCCCAGGGCTGGGTTGGTCGTATGCCTGGGTCAAGGCCCATCTACAAGCTGGCTCAGGGTCTGTGGCACCTCAGCCCTTCCTTCCAGCCCTAGATGGCCAGGTCCTAGGCACAGACCTGTTCGGAGGCAGCCTGGGCCCCCTGCCCTCTAACCTGCCCCTGCCCCTCACCACTGCCACGGTCAGAGGTGCTCCCTCCCACCCTACTCCCTACCTACAAATCTAATCCTGCTGCCTGGCAGCAAAGGCAGATGCAGCAAAAGCAGACGCAGAGGCCCCACAACAAGAGGATGTCTGAGGATGTCAGCCCCATCCCAGAGGCAAGAGAATACGTGAGAGTTCTGAACCACCAACCTCCCCTGCCTTCTCCCTCACAAGGGGCCCGGCCAGCAGCGGGACCCTCTTCCACACCTGCCTCGCCCGAACATGAGTCTGCCTGACGCCCACCTTTCTGCCGAGCTGGAAGGGCACGACCGGGTCGTCCTCGGCGTGCAGGATGAGCAGGGAGCAGGAGATGTGCTTCACACTGCGGGAGGGGGGAGGGAGAAAGGCACTGGATGGCCAGGACAGGCTGGGCCTCCCGGGTTCCCAGACTGCCGACAGCAGGGCCCAGTGAGGGAGCACTTCACTGTGGTGCGGAAGGGCTCAAATTGCCAGGCACTTTTAATACAGAACTAGCAACTGATTTCTTAGATGTTTCCATCAGTATCTGTTCTAGGTGACAAGTGTCAATCAAATCTAGAGATAAATTCATTCACCAAATCGGGTCCCTGAATATTTCCTGGAAATTTAAAAAGAAAACAAACTTTGCCAGTACACTATTCTTAAAAAATTACAAATGACATTTACAAACTGAATAACAGGTGGGCCAGGAAACTTACCGCAAATGAGCATTACTGGACACCAGCTGGCAGAAGAGCCACCTCTAGTTTCTCTCTTGTGTATACAACATTTAATTCCTGAACGTTTCAAATAAATGAACATTCTCAAAATGGTCACTCAATCCAAACCCTTCAGCAAACCGCCTACCGAAGGACAGGCTGCAGGACTGGTAGGCCCTGGGCGTGCCTAGCTGCCCCTCACTGAGGCCTCCCGGGGAGCTGGTGGACGCAGCAGACGCCTGCTACTGGCGATCTCATCCCAACCTGGGGCTTTGTGCAGCAGCCCCAGGGCAAGCCTAGCACCTGGCAGGACCAGGCCTGGGTGTGCACCCAGCCGTCTGGCAGGCTGCACTGCTGCTAGTGGCACACAGATCACCCACGCACCACATTTTACTCCCACAGCGAAGTGCTTGCCAGTGTGCAAGACATGCTTTGACATTCTACATCTTTTCATAAGTTCCACCCGCCAAGCTGGTCCTTTGTTTCTCTAACTCTTGAGGCCTGGCTCACATGCAGTCACCTTGGCAAGTATTTGGGAACAGACCTGCCCACCAAGCAGGGGCTCCTGACTTCCAGGGGGTGAGGGATGGCCAGCCCCACCCCAGCATTCATACTGGCTCAGCTGGGGGGTGAGGGTGACTTTCTCACTGTCATCACTTTTGGAGGAAATCCAGTTTATTCAGGTAATTCTTCTTTTAAAAATGTAGATTTTTTTAATTTTCACTGAATATTCAGATAAAAATTTTATTTTTTTTAGAATAAATTAAGGCCATGAAATAAAGATATCACAGAGATAATGTTACTTGAACTTTAACGTTGTTCAAAGAAAGAGCCCTAAAAATAGAATATGTAACTTCTGGTTTACTTAACAGAAATATATATATATATTTTTTTATGCCATAAGTTTATTTACAAACATATCTAGGATGCTGAGTTCAAGGGTTTGATCCTTTTAAGAGACTGCACCTCTTAATATGTTCCTCTTCATATCTGTCTCATGGGTCACTTTTTAAGCAGTTGGTGTCTCACTATAAAGAAAGGTGCAGCAAATCCAGACCCAAAGAACAAAGTCATCATAGCTAGTAACCTCCACTTGTTTTCCACTGAAAATGGTATATTCTTCCCTGGACCCTCCTCGTAGTGGCTCCGACGAACCACAGAGGTTGTGAACCTCCGGATGCTCTGTCCCAACACAGCGCTGTTGGAAGCTCTACAAAAGATCAAGACTGAAGGCGGAAGAAATGGCGGCCACAAAACGCGCGCTGCTTCCTCACGACCTTGTTCCCCCAACTGTCAGAAATATTTTTAATATTAACCTTCAGAACATCTTTCCATAACTAAACACAAATCAAATGGCTAAGGCAAAGTCATTTTTTGAACAACGGTTACTCTTGCTACTTTAACACCTGTTCAGGTGTTCTGGTTTTGACAAATAATTTTCAAGTAAAACAGTTCTATGGACCAAAGAATACGCTGTTTTCCTATTTCTTTAACTCTACAGTCTCCACCTTCCTACTTCCCTTTCTCTACCTGATGTTCCCTTTATAGAGATGTGTTGCTTAGAAAAGACCCCTACATGTCCAGAATCCCACCCTCCTTGGTTAACATGACTCAAGACACTTATTCTGAGGGTTCTTGGGGTTCTTCTAAATTCTCTCCCACAGTACTCACTTTTCATCATTTGCAAACTGAATTCCACTGCTTGTGATGGGATCAAGGAAGAACCAGTCAAACCCAGGGAAGTATCGATAGATCTGGAGGTGACATGTTGACAGAGAATCAATTACTACACCACCGTGGGGCTGGGGTCACCCCTGCTTCCAATCAGGCTGACAGTTGGACCCAGAGCTGGGGGGGATGGGTGGTAGCCAGGGTCACCCCTGCTTCCAATTAGGTGGCCCCAGAGCTGGGGGGGATGGGTGGTAATATACCCCCATAGGGGCCGGGGTCACTCCTGCTTCCAATCAGGCTGACTGATGCCCCAGAGCTGGGGGATGGGCAGAACTATACCCCTGTAGGGCCAGGGTCACCCCTGCTTCTAATCAGGCTGACTGGTGGCCCCAGAGCTGGGGGTGGGTGGGGGGTGGATGGCGGTCCTGCTATCCCTCCCCCAACCTTCAGACGCCCGGTCAAGAGGCCCCAGACTGGCTGCGGGGGATTGTCCACAAATAGGGCTCCCACACCCAAGCCTCAGGGACCAGGCTTGCCACACACAACAGGCCGCAACGCCCAAGAAAACGGAGGACCGTGTGATTCGGGAGAAGAGCAATATCAAAGAACACCCAACAAAGGACTCTTCTGTCTGCAGCAGGCAGCGTGAGGTCAGGCAGGGCCAACACGGTGCCCCTGGACACACAGAAGCAGTGGAGGAGAGGGAGGAAGCAACAGGACACAGAGGGGCCCCCCTCTGGACCCAGCCTGTAAACGGAGGGTCTCAGGCCTTGAGACCAGCCAATGAGGACCCAACAGCACGGGATTCCCACCAAGGGTTCTCTGGGGCACACAGCAGCTCCACTCCCAGCCCGCACTGGGCCCCAGGGGCAGCAATGCCAGGTGGGCAACCTGTGCCATAGGGCAAGGCCTCCTGTGGGTCTAGCCTCCCTCAGACAACCTGACTGTGACCACACCCTTCTACCTGGCACGAAGCTATAAATATCGTGAGTGGCTCTGCAGTCAGGCCAGTGCCCAGAATTAAATGAGAATTAACTTTCAATAATGTCTGTATTTATTAGAATACTTAAATAATTTTTGACATTTTAATTTACTTATATGCATATTTACTCATTTTTATATGTTATAGCTATTATTTCCATTATATAAATAAGTCTGTCTTTAATAAGCTCTGTACTTGCCACTGAGAATGGATGGCTCTTGGCTTCTTCACGGATATTAGTGAACGGAGATTCCAAGATAAGGGCATCTGGAGGAGTCTCTAGATAAATAAGACCAACAGGGAACTGGGAGGTGAGCAAGAAGCCCCAGTGGGGCACTCCTCATGCCACCACCCCCTCAACAGGATCACGGACCCCAGGTGCCCACCTGGCTGGCCCTGCCCCTCAAGTCCTCCCGGGGTCACGTGAGGGAAGTGGTCTCAGGAGACCCTGAGAGCCATGTCTGCTGAGGCTGCCTGTCCGGAGCCCAGCCCCTGTCAAGGCTCTGCCAGTTGCCAGAGAATCTGGGGAACAGGGTCAGGCCTTCGGGGGGACTGCTCAGGCCCCCATTTCAACCCCTGGCTCTCATCTCACCACCCCGTTCATCCACCACCACCCTCTTCACAAGAAGCTGGCAGGGCCTGGAGCACAGCCAGTCCCCAAAGAGCCCTCCTGCGTGGGAGCCAGGCCACACCCGTGGCATAGGAACCCACGCAAGCACCTACCTCGCTCACAGAGGCGCCGCACCAGGTTTGTGGCCACTCTGGAAAGAGGGGAAAGTTCAGCTAGATCATGACAAAAACTATTGCAGACGAGACTGTTCCTGGGGAAGCTAGGACCGGCGCGGTGACGGGTGGGGTTTTGGGTGGGGGCGCGCAGGGGCCCGGTGGCCAGCCCCTCCAACAGGGACTCCGTGATGGCACCTCCACGGCCCCGAGGCACGTGCTGCGCCTCACCTGGAACCGCCCCTGCAGGCTGCACAGCGACGCTCCAGCTCACACCTGGTCCTACAGACACAGATGGGAGGGGCCCAGAGCACTGTGGGACCCAGGAAGCCCTGGCGGTGGGGAGGTGGCCCCTGAAGGGGGCGGCACCTGCACTCTGCCCGGCCTAGGCCTCCTGCCTTCCCAGAACCAAACTGGGCAGGTCCAGGCAGACACCCACGGCGGGACGGCCTGCTCCCCTCTGGCCAGGGCTCATTCCACCCACAAGGACGGGCCAGGAGGGCCAGTCCCAGGCACCGCCCAGCCTGCAGCCAATGTGTCCAAAGGAAAGGCAGCAGGAAAATAGAGTTGCTGAAGGTCTGGGGCGCCTTTATACTGGCCCACATGGAACATCAGAGCGCTTCCTCTTTTAGCAGATGGAACAAGGGAACCCCAACTGCTGCCTCCCCAAGTTTTTAAGTAATGACACCACGTGTGGGCCAAAGGCCCGTGCTCCTGGATGCGCTGCGTAGTACAGCCATGGTCGGCCAGGCCTGGGAAGCCCGAGTGCCCTGCACTGTGGGGCTTCATCCCCGGCCCCCAGCAGGACTGCTGGAGGCTGCAGGACACCAGGGGCCCCTCCAGCAGCTGGGGCTGGAGAGTCGCCGTGCAGACCTGCTCCCGCCACCGCCACACTGGGAACTCTCACCCGGTGCCGAGAGAGTGGCCCCAGATGTACACAGGGTTGTCTCCACTTCGCACTTTGATCCAGTCAAAAACATGGAGTGCATCATATGTCATGCCCCGCTCCGACGGCGTCCCCACTGAGTCACCCCAACCTGGGAAAGCAGCATCAAAGAAGACGTCACGGGACTGCAAGGGGCAAGCCCCCCTCCGCCCCCTTCTCAGCAGAAGGCCCAGGCCATCTGGGGCCTCAAGTCTCAGCCAGGCTGGCTTGTTTCTCCCATCTCCTCAGCTGTCGCAATCTCTGAACCCAACCACCACCCTCACCTGAGTCTCAACAAGCAGAAGCAGACAGGGTGGTCGGACCACAGACCCCCGGCACCGACACCTGGGGCTTGGCCAGGCTCAGCTGTTGATAGTCCAGCCCGCCCCGGCCTTGAGCCCAACCCTGGCTCCGTGGCCCAGCTGTGAAGAGGCTTCAGGGGGGGCAGATTCCAGGCTCAAGGTAACACTGACCCACAAAGGAAGGGGCTCCTAGCATCCTGTTTGCATCACAGAGCAAAGCCAACTAAACTCTGACCTCCCAAGGGCCCTTCCCTCCAGATTCTGGAAAAGTCAAATGTGACTGTCATTTCCAGCAGCTCAGCAGTGAGTCATCATCAAATGATCTGAAAGCACCACAAGGCTCATAGAGAGCAAGTCCTGCAACACAAGCAAAACCTAGAGGCAGGGGCACCACAGGCCACCTCCCCGGGGCGTCCCAGACCCAGATTAGCGGAGAAGCCAGTGCCAGGAACAAGGCCAGAGTGAGGGCTCAGAGCCTGAGCTGGGGCAGGGACAGAGACAGGGAGAAACGAGAGAGACGGAGACAGAAATGAGAGAAGGAGACGGGGCAAGGAGCCACAGGCAGAACTTTGGTCTCTTGTACAGCTTAGAAAGGAAGAGACTCAACAGGAACTGAAGAGAGGAAGTGTTAGATGGGACCTTATTTCTGTTAGACGAGCAGGAAGGTGAACAAGGGAGAGGGTTGCCCCGTCACTGCCCTGAGGCAGCAAAGGCAGGAGGGAAGGATATGCCTCCTGTCAGAGTTTCTTCAACCCAGCACCTTCCTCCTAACGGAACACTCACAGAAGAACCACCCCGCACCCTAGGCCGGTGGAATAATGGCCCTCAAAGACATGCACGTCCACACCTGGAAACCTGTGCCTCTGGAACCTCACACAGCAAGGGCAGTGAAGGGTGCAGAAGGAAAGAGGCTGCCAAGCAGGGGACCCCGAGACAGGACAGTGTCCTGGTCAGCATGAACCCCAGGCAATCCTGGGTCTTTACAAGCAGAAGGGACAGAGTCAGGACCAGAGTAATGCAGATTCAAGGGGCCACAAGCAAGGAACCAGTGTGGCCTAGAGAAGCTACAAGAGGCCAGGAACCTGACTCTCCTGGAGCCTCCATCATGCCCACACCTTGACTCATCCCAGTGACTAAAGACTTGGAACCTTGACGTCCAGTGCTTCAAGATAGTACATCCATGCTGCTTTGGGACGTTACACTTGTGGCAGCTGCAGCAGCAGCAAGGGGAGACTCTCCCAACGTGCACACCCAGGCGATGCCAACAGCTGCTGGGTCTGCGGGTGTGAAGCCCCACCTCTCCCCAGCCAGGGTGAGCTGGACGAGAGGCCTCAGCCCTACATCCTCTACAGGCAGGAACTGTCTGAGGCACACATCACCGCTACTGCGGCTCCCCATTGACACAAAGCATCTTCCTCACGCAGCAAACTTCGGGAGGCAAGGAGAAACACGGAGGGACAAGAAGAAGAGTCCCTCTTTCCTTTCTCTGTAACTTCAATACGACAAGCTCTGCTGAGCATGAAATAGGCCCAATACCCAGCTGTGGGGAAAGTCTGAGTCCCATGAAGAGGAGACAGCACCTTTGACACGTGAAAGGGGCCGGCAGAGGGCACGTGCCGGGGTTCCAGGCACCCGTGCCTCCCATCTGGGGGAGGATGCACGCAGGATGCACCTCCAAGGACCCAGACCCTCCACTACCTCCACACGCTGACAATCTCACAAGGACTGCAGGTCACAGCAGAGCCACCAGCCTTTCAGAGTGACACCTGGCCACCCCCCACACCAACCTCAAAGAGGCAGGGTGAGCAAGGAACCCTCACCTCTGTAGTCAAAGGTGACCACGTGGTAGCCGAGGGAACTCAGCACCTGGAAGTGAAAAACAAAAGCTGAACAACGCGGCTCTGACTAACCCACCCAACCTCACTCGAGGGAACTTAGTGAAGGCCGTCACCTCACCGCCCCATCCTGACGGGACCTCCCAAACCCACATGTCAGCCACTGTGGGACACTCGGGAAGGCGGAGGCCAGCCCGAGCAGCACCCCTGCCCTCTGAGGGGCTTGCAGGCTGATGGCTATCCAGGGGTTGCCAGGGGCTCTGACCACCCAGAGACCCAGGAGGAAGGACCCTGCAGTGTGGAGTTCACACCTGGTAAACCTTAATGCATCCTAGCATTGTTCAGATTTAAGTTTCTGTTGAATTTTTCTCATTTAAAAGAAAAAAATCTCTGAGGATTAGGTGACTACTTTCATGAAGTCACTATTCACAGTCCCACCCAAGCCCTGGCTGGGTGTGCACAGAGCCACGAGGAAGCTGCCACCTACACCAGTGACACCACCCTGAGGTGCGCTCCCATCCCCGAGGAGACCAGGGACTCCCAGGCCACACAGGACCTGCACCCTCTGGAGCCACAGCTGTTCAGTCACCCACCCCACCCCCACCTGGATCCAAGTCGCTCCAGGGAACCAGCCCTCCCACAGCCCAGAGCCGTCCACGGGTTGCTGGACAGCCGCAGTGCCCACATGTCTGCCTTGTCCCTTTGGCCCTGTTTCCAAACACAGATCCACCTGCGAGGAGGGCGACAGGCGTGGTGGCCCCAGACGCTCCATCAGCAGCACGTGTCAGCTCGAAGACCCACACACCCTCTGACGACAGCCACATGGCGGGGAGGGTTTGCACACCCCCTGGGGCCCCGCACCACTACGTTGGCTGGGAACCTGCGTCAATGGTGCCCTGTGCCTGGTGGACACGAGAAACCCCAGTGCTGGCAGAATTCCTAAGCCACAGCCCAGAGGACAGTGTAGCTCTCGGGCCCCTCGGTGTTCTCCCATCATTCCTTTGAGTAAGTAACTTTACAAACGATTGCAAATCACTTTATGTTAACTTGTTAATTTCTGGCATACAAGCCACAAAGTCCATTCACCCTGATCTTGGAAACTATCCCCAGAGGCAGCAAAATGGGAAGCACTCCATGTGGAGATGTCCGTAAAAAGCAAGATGAAAAAGACCAACAGAGATTAACTCAGACTATTAGGAGGAACTCCGTTCTGTTCATGACTCCTGGAAAGAACAGCCAGAGGCAGTAGGCAAGCAATGCTCTCTCTGTCCACACAGTGAGGGTGGGCACTGCTCCGGCCATCTGTCCACTGCATGGCCTCTTCTATGTGCCATAAGCTAAGGACACTGCTCGCCGTCGGAGGCCATGAGCCGACCTCACCTACCTTATAAAGCTCCACCCGGTGGTCACCACCTCTAGATCGTCAGGGAAAGGAAATAAGAACAGCTGTTAGTGCATTTTTTCAGAAAGGAGGCCCGGGATGAACACTGCAGCATCTGGGCACTTAGAGCCTGGTCCCCAGATCCATGTGGGAGGGTGATTGACAGGGCACCTACGTGGCTCCCAGCTGGACTCCACGTATGGTGCCAGGCAAGGGACCATCTGAGCATTGTGGGGATGTTTCTTAATTATTACCTCACCTCTGGTTTGACTAGGTGGCAGAACCTAGGAAACACAAAGGCCCCTCAGCTCCCCAATGTCCAGGACCACAGGTGAACAGACGGGACACACGTCCTCGCTGGCACACACACCAGGGGGACGGGCCATAGGCACCTCCTGCCTCAACCTCCTCACCCACGGGGCCACCACCGACCCTCAGGGCACTCCTCCTTGGCTGTTCATGCCCCCACCACCAGGTGATCTGGCTCTTCCCCACCTGCTCCTCATGGTCAGCTGCTGCGCCTCCCATCCTGCCGTCCTTCCACACACGTGTGCCCGCAGGCAGACGCTAGGTCAGAGGCACCACTGTGATCCGACAGCCGCGGAGAGCCTCCCAGGCCCTCACTGGCCACCTAATGCCCACCCCTCTCCGGGCGAGGCCTGTCTGCCTCTGCCTCCCACTTCCTGCCCAGAAGCTGTCCAGCGGTTCCCTGCAGACACCCCAGGGCTGCCTGATGAGTGGGAAGCGCATCAGTAGGCAGGCTCACCCTCGACAGACTTCTCTGCTCTTTCCCTTTCTCATAATGAGCATTTGGGCCATTTCCGGTGTGTGTGTCGAGAAAGTGTCCTCAGGGGAGGTGAGAAAAAGATGGAGGAAGAAAGCCAAAATAACCCAGAAACAAACATCAAAGGGCTGAGTTTCAAGACTGGAGAGAAATAATGCAAAATGTTTTCAGTTATCTTTGCAAGACTTTGTCACGGTTCTTTTGTAAGATCTCCAGTACCCTACCCTGAGCAACAAGAGGGGTTCAGAGCAAAATGGGGTCTCAGGGAATCCTTGAAGTACAGGCCTCAGGGAGCCATGGCTGCTGCCACCCTGCCCGAACGGGGAGGCCATCAAGAACTGCACACTGTGCTGTCCTTGGGGACGTGGGGAGAGGGGGGCAGCAAACCTTCAGAGTCACAAGATGCCTTCCATCCTGAAGCTACAGACAGACTTTGTCTTCTTTACCATGTGACTGGTAAGAACGCCCAACTTCCCTCATTTATAGAAAGAGGCTACAGGAGCTGTTTGCAGTCATTTGCTCTTTGAAAAGCGGAAGAGAAACCCGCCACAGCTTGTCCTGGACAACGGGGAAGCGGGCTGCCAAGTGCGTGCTGAGTCAGCAGCTCAGCTCTCTGGGCTCAGGGCGCCCTGGGGGCCACGTCCCAGACATCCTGCTGACCCTCTGTGCAGCCCCTCTGCCTAGACATCCACTGTGGCCTGCTCTGTCCCCCTCGCTGGCTCTGCCTGTGAACTGACAGGCCCCAGCCCAGCCCCATGGAGCCTGACTCCTGCAGCTGCAGGGGCGCCCCAAGGGGTTTCAGGCAACGCGTGCTCAGGTAACGCCCTTCTTCTTCTGCCCCTCTGGCTCTCATGCAGATTCCTCTCAACAAGGCCGCAGTGAGGACTGGAAGGAGCCCTGTTTAAACAATGGGATCCAAACCCACAAGTCTGAAAGATGACCACTGAATCTGCCCTTGAAAAGCTCCCGGGATGACCATGGGTAAGGACGGCTACACAGGGACGCGCTTCCTTGATGGCCCAGTGGGATGTGCTGGCATTGCCGGCTCAGGGCTGGAGGTACCTGGCCTGGCAGCGTGGCAGGGCGCCCCCCGAACAAGCTTGTCCCTGACTGCTCGGCTGGGGTCTCTTCATGTGCCCCCCAGGAAGTGTGCCTCCCCTTCCAGCAGGGCACGCTTGCCAGTGAGAACATGTCCTCACTCCAGGATGGTAGATGCTGGATGCGCAGGGGCGACTTCCCAGGCACATCACGGCCTTGGAGAGTCTCAAAGCCTCCCAAGGGGCTGTGCTTCCTGTCCACTGAGGAGCCTGGGTCCCTAACCCAGGAAGAGCGAGTCCCCCTGGCTGAGGCTCTGGGCTGCTCAGGCGGACACAGCCACCTCCATTGGCACCCCAGGCACGCGCTTCTGACCAGGGCTTTCTGGACACAGCTGCCAACCTCCACTCAGCCGGCAGTTCCCAAGCAAACAGGCCCGGCCCACCTGGCATGCAGCCCTGCCCTTCTCTGGGCCTGTGGGAACAAGGGTTCCCAACCACCCCTCTCAAAGCCCAGACGAGACCTGGCTTTCCCCGAGCTCTCGGGACGCCCGTGCCCAGGTGCACCCTCTCTCCCTGCAGCAGGCCCCTGCTCACCTGGTGCCCGCGTTCCCATGCAGGTACAGGATGATCGGGTGGCTGGAAGACAGGGCATCCTCGTACCACATCTGGTCCTTCCCCTGGGCATTCTTCCACCAGACAGCAGGGACCGTGTGCCTGGAAGCAGCAGCAGAGGGTAGCAGCAGGTGACACGCCCGCAGGCAGGATGCCCATGGCTGGGGACAACTGGGCAGAGAGCAGGAGGCTGGGGGGGCAGACCCCATGCTGTGAGGGCACCGTCTGGCAGCTGAGGACACTGTCTGACTCGCAGAAGGGCCCCCTCTTGGCCCCAGTAGCTCGCCCCGGCAGCAGTGACTCCGTCCATAGAAAGGGGAAGCCGTGTGAGGTAAGACCCCCTCCAGCTGGGTCAGAGCACGGAACGGGCACTGAGGCTGTCCCACATCCCCTCACACTCGCCCATGTTTATAAGCTACATGGAACTGCATCCATGAGTACTCAGGACAGTATCGTCTGTCACACATGCTAATTCAGTTAACACTGGTCTTTACAGGCTGACTCGAAGCCTGGCTGTCCTTAAAGCACCATTTCTAACACAGAGCCTGTCTACAAGCCATCTTGGCATTAGACTCACCTCTGCAGGAGGCGTCACAGGCCCCGGTGGGCAGCCCGGATTCTTGTACACCTGGCCAGGCATGCAGACACTTGGTCTATGTGGCCAAATCCTCCTTCAGAGAGGTGCTCTGATTACCCTTAACTCAGGACACATCAAAGTCACTGTTCATCATGGGGGAGGGTCTGATTTAACACAATTTTTTCTGTAAATGTATTCGTTTGTGGGAAGCCTTAAAAACACTGCATGACTGATTTCTTCTTCTCCAGGTCTAAGTGCCAGCATCTCGTTTCTGATGTGTGTCTGACCATTTCACAGGATAGCATTTTGGGTGGTTCTGACCACTGCAATTACCACTCTCCCATAGTTACAAACCTGTGAGACAGAAAGGTGCACTTGGCAGATGCTGGGAGCTGACATGCCTCCAGGAGCCAGCCTACCCGAAACTCGGAGCTCTGAAAAAGGCCCTGGCAGCTCTCTGTCCCTGGGCTCCGCCCCTGCCAGGCAGAGAAGGAGCTGCTCTCCCTGCTCCTTGGCCGTGGGAAGACCTGGCGAGGCGCCAGGGAGGGCAGTTGGTGAGCAGAGCGGCTGCCACCCCAGGGTCCGCGGTGCCGTCAGGATAGCACTGGGTGTAGACGTGGGTGGGCAGAGGCACCCACCTGCACACAGAGCTTGTCGTTCCTGGAGACCCACATGGTCATCACCAACACGAACCTTCGCGGGTAACTGCCCAGATACCCATCCTGTCACACGACTGCTCTGTTTGAGGAAGAAGCCTGGCTGAACCCACGTCTTCAAAGCACAGATCCTAGTAACCATCAGGAGAGCCGCCAAGTCCCCCAGACAGCATTGAACAAGACATGCAAGCTTGACTGAAGATGGACATGCAGAGCAGCCTACATGCACACGCTGGCCCTGAATGCTCCACTGAACCACACCAGAAACGGCCACAGGCAATCCCTGCCTCAGCCACTCAAACCAGAGCCTCCCTCTCATTTTTGGATCTTCACCCAGGACACCCTGGCCTCGAACAGGGAAGTGGTTCAGAGCACTTCCCTCAGAAGCTCCTCCTGGGCACAACGGTTCTCCTGAGTCCAAGGAGCAACTCAAAGCCATTCCTGAGACAAAGAGATGCAGCCACAGGAAAGTTGGTCCATTCTGGTTCCATTGATTGCAAACACCTACTCGTCCATGGAAAAAAACACTAAATCGTACTCTGAAGAAAAGCCAAGTCACAGAGCTTAGATCCAAACCTAAATTTATGGCTTAAAAAAAAGTAAATACTAAAAGAGCAAATGCCACCACCACTGTCAGGGCCTGAAAGAGCTGTGTGTGAAAGAAATGCAACTGTTTTCAACACCTGGATGGGCCCTTCTGAAAGGCTGTTGCTGAACCACGAAAAGACACCAGGATTCTTGGTCTCCGGAGGAGAAGAATTCAATCTGGGGTCAGAGACAAGGCTTGATCACTCAGAGCTTTTGTGCAATAGAGTTTAAGTATAAAAGGGATAGAGAAAGCTTCTGACATAGGCATCAGAAGGAGGCAGAAAGAGTACTGCCTTGCTAGTGTTAGCAATGGAGTTATATACTCTCCAATTAGTTAATACAATGAATCAAAAGAATGTCTGGAGGTTGTAAAGACCTCACTAGACCTACTCCCATAATTTACATTTTAAGATAACAGGATTAGCCAGAAGGTTTTTTCCAGAGACTGTCCTTAAGCAGGATACATTATTGTTATATAATCCTAAAGAATGTAGAGGAAAAAAAGTTTGCCCTTTCTTTCTCCTTGAGAATTCCAGACCCCTCTCTCCTTGGGGACCCCTGGACTTCTTATCAACCTGCCTAGGAAATGACTCTCTCACTTCTCTGAAAGACAGGTGTGGCTCAAGCCTGTGCTCATGATTCCATGATACAGTCTCTTTTCTGGCTTTCTTTCCCCCTGGAAATACGGCTTTCTGCAAAAACTGCCAGGGGAAGGAAGCATGCTGACTGAAACCGCCCACCCTGGCCAGGTATCATAGTAACCATTTGTGTGAGTTATTTTACGACAGGAGGTTCTGGTAAGAAACACGGAACTAATAAGCCACCACTAACCAGAAGAGTTCGGGAAAGGTCTAAACCAGGTCTAAACCACGTGTCCAGCCACCACCCAGAACCCTTCACACTGGCATCCATCTTGGTTAAGCAATGAGTGCAACCCCAGGAAGGACTCTCAGTCAGAGTGATGGGTCAGAGACAACCAGGAAACTAATCCCATCACCATAAAACCCAAGACTGCGAGCCACGTGGCAAAGCAGTCCTCCCGGGTTCCCTTTCAATCAAGTCTCTTGCTTTGTCAGCTCATGAGTCTCCTCAGACAATTCATTTCTGAGTGTTAGACAAGAGCCCACTCTCGGGCCCTGGAAGGGGTCCCCCTTCCTGCAACAAAAGCAATCTGGTTTACAAACCCTTTGCTGTTTGAAAACCTGAGAACAGAGTTGATGCAGCTGTCAAGAGCTCCATTATCATGGAATCGAGCAGAGATTTTTCCTTTGGAAACAGATAAAGATAAAAATGGACAAGCAACAACAGTTTCAGAGCCTGCTGTCAGGACAATACTGGCCACGCCTCACAGGCCCTGTTGCCTTGAGGCCACACCGCTTGACCCTGTAGTCCTGGGGCCAATACTCACCAGACTCCAATGGTCACGTCTTCCTCTGGCTGGAGGTAGTAATTACAGGTGTGATTCAAACCTTGATCCTGCGGTTTTTTCAAATCAATGAAATAGGGAACCCGCACTGTAGGGGACAAAGAGATGGAAACAAGGATTAGGGGGGGTGTTACTTTGCCAACAAAGGTCTGTCTAGTCAAAGCTACAGTTTTTCCAGTAGTCATGTATGGATGTGAGAGTTGGACCATAAAGAAAGCTGAGTGCAGAAGAACTGATGCTTTTGAACTGTGGCATTGGAGAAGACTCTTGAGAGTCCCTTGGACTGCAAGGAGATCCAACGAGTCCATCCTAAAGAAAATCAGTCCTGACTATTCATTGGAAGGACTGATGCTGAAGTTGAAATTCCAATACTTTGGTCACCTCATGCGAAGAACTGACTCATTGGAAAAGACCCTGAAGCTGGGAAAGATTGAAGGTGGGAGGAGAAAGGGATGACAGAGGATGAGATGGTTGGATGGCATCACTGACTCAGTAGACGTGAGTTTGAGTAAACTCCGGGAGTTGGTGATGGACAGGGAGGCCTGGCGTGCTGTAATCCATGGGGTCACAAAGAGTCCGACATGACTGAGTGACTGAACTGAACTGACTGAACAGACCACCCTGTATACAGCAGAGCTAAAGCTCTCAAATACTTTCTAGAACCCTAATGCCTGGGGCACTGGGCCCTGCAGCCTCAGGAGCAGGTGTGGGCAGGTATATCTAGAGATCCTTCAGCAAGGGTGAGGTCCAAGCAGAGACCAACCTCAGAGAAGGTTTTTCAAGGTGTGAAGGACACAAAGGAGGGAAGAAGAGATCCTTGGGGGACCTGAGGATTGGCCTGGCCATGAGAGGCTGGAGAAAAGGCTGAGAACTGAAGGCTGGGACCAGGGTGCTGGGGGAGGGACTATGGGAAAGGTGACAGAGGGACATGTTTTTTGGACCTGCAGCCACGGGCTTGATGACCACCAGAATGTGGGTGTGGCCGGGCGAGGGGGACACTGAGGTTTCTAGTGCTGCCACTGACAGAGCGAGGCCCAAGATGAAGTGTGGGTGCAGGATGTGGAGGAATCCACAGGACCCAGAGCCCAGGAAGAGTGGAGAGAAGTTATGAGGAAGAGACGGCAGCTACTCATTGAGCCCTGAATTTAGAGGGGACCTGCCAATAGGGCAATGACTGAGGGACTGTGGTGTACCCATCGATGGGAAGCCCCGGGCCTTCACACAGAGACAACCGATACCCATAGATCTGGAGGAACCTCTGTGAGCTATAAGTAGGTGAGAAGAGCAGGGAAGGACAGTAAGATTACTGTGATGCTGCTACGTAATCCCAGGTCTTCAGTGAATAAACAGGCCACACCAGCATCAACACCGAGTGCGGCCTGGAAAACACAGAGACACGCTCCAGGCTGTGAGTGGGAGTTTAAAGGTGTGTGTGGGGTGGAGCATATCCTTTTTGTATGAAAAAGTGAAAGTGTAAGTCACTCAGTCCTGTCCGACTCTTTGTGATCCCATGGACTACACAGTCCATGGACTTCTCCAGGCCAGAATACTGCAGTGGGTAGCCTTTCCCTTCTCCAGGGGATCTTCCCAACCCAGGGGTTGAACCCAGGTCTCCCGCATTGCAGGCAGATTCTTTACCAGCTGGGCCACCAGGGAAGCCCAAGAATCCCTTGTATACCACTGCACTTTTAGTCCTTGAGGTGAACACCATCTTTCAAGTTTTATTTAGTTGAAAAACAAAAACAAAACAACTTAAACCTTGAGATGGAATTCACTCACATTATAAAATGGCAATTCTCAGAAGGGGTAGCGACAATGGAGTGTGGCCATGACTTCCAGTCAGTCTCACCTTCAATACGGAAGTCACGCAGGTTTTCTCTGGTGAAGGGAGTAGTGTCCTTGAGTAACCTACCTGGTCACGTGGCATCAGAGCCCAGCATGCCCACCTGCCATGCTGTCGCCTCCAGAGCCCAACTCCCACCCCAGGGCCTCTACATTGGCTGCCCTGAATGCTCTCTCCCCACATACCTGCATTCCAACTCTCAATTCCTCACATGTCCCCATGGCTCAGAAAACGTTCACTGAAGAAATGAAACAGCCAACTGGTGAGGCCATGGGAACACCTACACACTCCTTCCCCTCGGGCTGCTTTTGAACCTCCAACTTCTTTATCCATCTCTTTCCCAAGAAGCAGGCTACATTCTAAAAACTTAAAAAGGAAACTGACACTCAAAGGAGGTGGCATCTTACTTGCTGGTGCATGTTCCCTGTACTCCAAACACCATCCCCGAAATAGGCAGGTACGACCATGACCACAGTGCTTGCTCAAGCATGATGCACATGGGATGACTCTGGGATTTGCACCCAGGCGACCAGACTCCACACTCTTGACTACTCAATAGGAAGTCGGAACAGTAAACCGATTCTGGTCCTGGTGGACCCTGAATGCTCTCCAATTGGATCCCCTTGAAAGACAGTAAAGTCCTAACCCCAGCACATCAGAAGGGGACCTCAGCTGGAAATAGGGTCTTCACAGAGATAGTCAAGCTTAAGTAAGGTCATTTGGTGGACCTGATCCAACATGACTGGTGTCCTTGTCAATAGAGGGAATCTGGACACAAGGACAGACAGAGGGAAGACAACATGAAGTCCCGGGGAGAAAGCGGTCCTGTGATGGAGGCAGGGGCAGCAGTGATGCAGCTACAAGCCAAGGAACGCCAGCCACCACCAGAGGCTGGCAAGAGGGAGCCCGGAATTTCAAAACTCCAGAACTGGGAGAGAATACATTTCTGTGGTTTTAAGCTCCCCCATCTGTGGTGTTCGTTATGCTGTGAAGGGACCAGCAGGCCTGGAAAGGTCTCCCTGGACACATCTCTTTCAGATGCAGGCGCCCACTCCTGCCACACCCTGACTGCTCCGCTGGGCAAGCCAAGGCTGCAGAATCGTGTACGACTGAGGGGAAATGACTGAGGGGAAATCAATAAAACTCTGAATATGCCCAACTAACCCATATTCAATCAACTCTACCCCTGAGACTGGAGATTCCATGCCACAGAGGAGATGGTGCTGCCGAAGGCACCGCTGTCAGGTCTGGCAAGTTCTGTCCCAGAAAAGGTGGCCATGTGGTTGAGTGCCCCCTCAAAGCTCCAAGGGCTCCCCAGCAGCGAAGAGTGTCTTCCTGGGATCAGCAGTTAATCCTGAAAGCTTCCACGGCTGAGAAATCTAGAACCAAGATACTCGATTCTGCTCTAGGACAGGCTCATTCCACAATGCTCATCCTCCAGTTCACTTCCATTTCTATTTTAGAAATAACCATGGAGGGGCTTCCCTGGGAGCTCAGTGATGAAGACTCTGCCTGCGTTCGCCAAGGACAGAGCACTGAGCACGCCAGCAGCCCAAGGTGGCAGGGCAGGAGCCGGCAGGGTGACCCAGCTCCGCATCACTGTCAGTTACAAGCTCTGCCGCACACAGAGGTCGGTGCACAGCCAGCAACCCAGCACACAGGCCCAGGCAGCTTCCAGAGCCAGGCCTTCTGGGGCCCCTGCTTTCCCAGCTGTGTTATCCACTGAGCACGCTGTCATTTATCAGCAACCACAAATGTCACAGGGGTGACTAAGAAAGGCTTCTGAACAGACATGCTCGGTAAACAGTGAGTAAATACATGAACGAACAGAAAACAACTGAGTCAGCCATCCTTTAGATGCTGGTTGGGTGGGAGGCCAGAACTCCTGGGCTTCAGGGGACATATTCAACCACCTGAAAACTATAAACGCTGGGGCCACGCCCTATCCCAGGCACTGAGTAAAGAGCAAGAGCAAAGAGGTGGGGCGCCAACAAGGGAAGGGCCCTCCCAGCATGGTTTTATCAAACTCCAGCTGCCCCATGGACTCTGGGCTTCCAAAGAAGGAAGAGATAAGGAAAGCGATCAGGGGTCACCAGAATGGCCAAGGGGAAGGAAAAAGAGGAGGCTGAAGGATGGCCATCCCTTGAAAGCTGCAGTGGACAGGCTGTTGCATTAACAACTAAGTAATTCAGATATTAACTCTTAATCTCCAAAAAAAGGCCCAGAGCGGTGTGTAGAGAAGAGCATTTCTACACCAGCCTCTGAAATGAAACACTCCTTCCCACCAGGAGACAGCTCTGGATTCCAGGGGAAAGACTTCGAGAACCGGCTGGTATCACCCTGACATTGCTGGGGGCGGGGGAGCTGACTTTTGAGTGTAGGTTTTGAAAAGCATGTATATTTACGTTTAATTGTACAGACACACACACAAAAGACCAACAGGAAATAGACAACAATGTGACAGCAATTTTCTCTCAGCAAGTTTCATTTTCTTCTTCATGCCATTCAGAGCTTTTCAGTTGATTTAGTTTCAGATAGATTTGTTACAAACTTAAGAATACTTTTAATCATGTTTTGGGGCTCAAAAGATCATTCCACTTCCTTCAACATCCAGATAGAAACCCACAGCTCACGATTCACACCCTGAGAAGAAGGAAGCTGCCCCAGAACACACAGGCCCTCCAGCAGAGCGAGGTGAAACTACCATGTTACTGCCCAGAAGACCCCATCTCCACAGGGGAGGGCAGGGGCCCTGACAGCTACCCCTCATGCAGCAGGCACAGGGCGAGCAGTTGGGGACAGGCGTCTCTCTGCAGGGGTGCAGGGCAGCCCTGCCAACCCCTTCTCTTCTGTGCCTGGAGCCCGAACAGGAGAATCCAGGAACATCCTGCCATTTCATTAGGAAATCAACAGTGCAAAATTCATGAGCTGCATCTAAAGTGACCCCAATGATGGAGCTAAAGAAAACCAACTTAATTCAGAGAGCTGCTGGGACCCACAGTGCAGCAGCCCAGAGGGCAGCAGGCCACTGGCTGCCAAGACACCTGCCCAAGGTGCCTGGAGGTGCCCGGAGGCCTGCCCTGAGGGACAGCTGGGCAGGGCTGACTCTAAGATCTGCCATCAGGAAACCTGCAGCCTGTGGCCTCATGTTTGCATGTAACCCAGACTCTCTTCCACGCTAGGCTGACTGGACACTTAAAGGACATTACAGTCAGAAAAACAGAACCTTCTTGATTTTAGTATGTTGTGAGCTCCTTCCAAGTTCGGGCTTCTCACAAGCAATGAAAACTCAGAGATAATAAATTCCTAGAAGTTTAGCCATGTTTCTGTTAGAAAAATCAAATCTTTCTTAGTGTACTAACATGTGTTTTACACTTACTTTCAGACATCCAAATGAAAACTTCTTTTATATTTATTATATTTTATTATCCGCCTTACTGTCTCTGTTCCTCTTCCTCCTCTGGCTCCTCTTGATTTCTTGGCTGCCCCAGGAAGCACATGGGATCTTAGTTCCTGGACCAGGGATGGAACCCAGGCACATTGGAAGTGCAGAGTCTTAACCACTAGGCAGCCAGGGAAGTCCCATCCTGCTCCTCTTTAGAGCACAAATTCCTTCTCAGCAGTGACATCCACTTTTCTGTGATCAAGTCTACTGCAGACTTAACACCCCAAACTCATATGTCCCAATGCCCTGCAGAGCCTGCAACACTGGTGTTACTTAAGGTGTTACCCAGCCACGCCCTGCTGCCCCAGGCCAGTCATCACACAGGACACCTCAATACCTCCAGTCTGTCCTCTCCTCTCCCTCCCCTTCACCAGCTCCCCTGCTGCCTCAGAGCACCAGCCTGGTTTCCCAAGCCTCCAGTTCCCACACACACAAGTCCAAACCCACTCTTTGCAAACTGGCACAGCTGCAAGAACATAGAGACCGCTTCACCTGCCCCAAATACTCCCTACACCCAGTAGCAAGGCCAGCACTCACGGGGCACTGCTGTGTGCCAAGCACCAGGTTCTATCCGCCGACCCCCAACACTGCATGTGCGGTCCCTTCCCTCCTGGCCTCATCTTGTGGGTGTAAAAAGATGTTCCTTATAATGATTATTCCTGGCAACTATACACTTTCCACTTCATAAACCAGATACTTCTACCCTTTTTCCTCCCACTTGTCCAAAAGTAAACATATAGCATGAAAAATAAAAACAAAAACAAAAAAACAACTTTGGAATACACCAGGTCCAAGTTAACTGAAGGGGATTATAATCTAACTTCTAACCCTTACCTCTAAAGCCAGCATACAATTTCATAGGAAACAAAGCAGCATGCTAGGGTTTTTTAAGGGGAGAAAAAAAGGTGTAGGGGTGTGTGTGTGTGTGTGTGTGTGTGTGTGTGTGTTTTAAAGAAAAAAGACCAGATTTGTGTGTGTGTGTTAAAGAAAAAAGACCATATTATTTTTTCAGTCACTACCGTTTCAGTGACCACCTTTTCCAAGGACAGCTAACCTCCTAGACTGCACTACAGACAGAGCACCCCCAACATGACAGCTTCAGGAGACTCTACATGTCATCAACACTTCTACCCACCTCAGTGAAGAAAGACCCCCAGACATGCAGCTGTCATCTACGCACACAAACGCCAGCCCTAAGAGAAATGCCCTCATTACAAACATCCCTTAACTGGGAAGGGGCACAGGGAACCTTCTGGACAGCAGAAAGGCTCTACTTCCTGAAAGTGAAAGTCACTCAGTCGAGTCCAACTCTTTGTGACCCCATGGACTATACAGTCCATGGAATTCCCCAGGCCAGAATACTGCAGTGGGTAGCCTTTCCCTTCTCCAGGGGATCTTCCCAATCCAGGGATCAAATCCAAGTCTCTTGTATTGCAGGTGGATTCTTTACCAACTGAGCCACCAGGGAAGCCCTACTTCCTGAGCTGAGTGGTAAAGATATAAATACATAAATCACTATGAACATGAATTCTTACTAAAATTAAAATGAAAATGGACACACAGCACTTACCGAAATTCAAGAAAATCAGTTTGGCCTGTATCCCAGGACATAGTTTGATGAGAAATGGAATGGCCACGTACAATCCCAGGACACAGAAAAGTATCTTCCTCAGTCGGAAGCACAGGCCCTTTCGCCTGCAAGAGAAAAGCAGTGCACAGGAGTGAGTCCACTACGGTTTAGTAACAGTATCGTCAAAAATCACTCACCAAGACCCACACCTACTGTGCCCAACAAGAATATCACCGAGGACGAGAGCAGCCTCCCACCTGCGTGTGCCTTGTCATTTGCCCAGAACTCTACCAGAAGGGTAAAATTTGTTTCTTGAAAGCCAAAGAAACAGTCCTGCTGATTTCCTATGGGGGCCCTGGGATCCTTCAGATCTTCAGAAAGTGCCCAACCTCATGTCAGACTGTGGCTGCAACTTCCCCTCAGGAGAGAGGCTGCCTCTGGGCCTCTGATTCCCCTTCATCAAGCGGACGTGGGCTCCCCAACAGAGGAAGCACCTACGCACAGAACCTGTCAAACCAGATCCCAGGAGGGAGCAGGGGGCCGAGGACAGGACAGTGGCCACGACTCCATGTTCTCATATTTCTGCCTGCATACCTTCCGGAGGCCCCTGCTCCGGAAGCCTCAGACCAGGTCATCAGCCCAGGTCTCAAAACCCTCTCTAATCCACAACCAGCTCCAAGACTTTCCTCACTCTGGTCCTGACACCCTGTTAAAACGGGTTCCTAGCCCAGAGATCCTCAAACTTGGACTATGGGCCTCTTGACAACTGAAAAACTGAGGGCCCAAAAGACCTTCATATGATTTGTGTTTATCACTATTTGTTTTATGAGACACTAACGAAAAATTTTAAATATCTATTATACTAAGTCATTCAATAATAATAACCCATGACAAGTTAATATAATTAACATCTGTTATTTTAAAAAGATTAAATTTCCCAAAAGGAAAAATTTCAGTGAGAAAATTTTTTACAAATTTCTTCAAGACAAACAGCTTAGCAGAAGACAGATGGGTTCCGGTACGTGCTTCTGCGTTCAATCCGCTGCAGTATGACACATCACGTAGCACCCGAAAAGCTCCTGGGACCCCACAAGAGATCAAAAGTGAAAAAGGCAACCAGTGCTACCACGAAACCTCTCTGACATCAAGGATCAACCTCAGTGGGGCTACTTATATCTGCGCTATTTCAAAAAAGTATTCAAGGTGGTTTAAAAAATATACCTAGAACTCATCAGTTCTAGGTATGTGAACTCATCACATGCAACAATACGGAAGGCTATAAAAGCATCAGGCTAAGGTAAATAGGACGGATACAAAAGACTACACACTGTATAATCCCATTTGTTAAAAATTCCAGAAAAGGCAAAACTACAGAGGGCAAGGAAGCCTGGCATGCTGAGGCTTAAGCGGTCACAGAAAGTTGGACGTGACTAAGTGACTGAACAACAACAACAACAGGCAAAACAGCAGAATAGTGATCTCCAGGGCCGGGAGGAGAGGGAAGGAGAGATTACAAGGGGTGCGAGGCAACTCTTGCAGTGATGGAAAGGTTCATTATCTGGACTGTGGTTGTGGACACATGAATGCATACACTGGTAGATTTTATCACATGTAAATCAACACTCAACAAAGCGGACTGATATAAGTAATACTTCAGTACAGCTGATGACAAATACACATATTTGATAATATAATCCTTTCACTCAATCACCTGGCTCATCCTCCAGTTGTTACTGAGCACCAGGTACTCCATGGGCAGTGGACAATAAGAGCAGAAGAGGATGAATCTGCCTCTGTGCTGTGCTCTCAGCTCAGCGGGGCAGACGAAAGGCTGTGACAGCACACCTGCACAGGGTGATCTGACCTAGTCTGGGCTGCCAGGGAAGGGCCACTGGTGGAAACACTAAGTCAGGAATAGAGGAGTTAGCCAGGTGGCGCAGGAGAAGTTCAAAAGGGCATCTTGGGACTTCCCTAGTGGTCCAGTGGTTAAGATCCATCTTGCAACAGGGGACGTGGGTTCCATCCCTGGTTGGAAAACTAAGATCCCACATGCTGTGGAGCAAGTAAACCCACGCGCGCAAAAACTAGAGTGCCCATATGTCAGCTGCAGCAACTGAGCCTGTGAGCTCTGGAGCGCCCACACCACAGCTACTGAGCCTGCACGCCACATGATGCAACTAAGACCTGACAAAGAAATAAACACATATTAAAAGGGCACTTAAAGTCCATGCGCAATCTACACTTTCACTAACAAAAGGCATATGATGCGGTGGTTAAATGAAAGGCTGTGGAGTTAAGGTGATCTGGGCCAATACCCAGTGTGCCACTCACTACTGTCATACCCTTCTCGAAGAAGAAATACATATATAAATAGAAATTTCAAAAAACTATGTATCTGCATCAGTGAGGCTCTTCTACATGAAAGTCGTTTTCTTCTAGATTGAGTTATGATTATTACCATACACATGAATCAAAATGACAAATGTTTCATTTTTGATAAATCATTATTAAGCATGTGTAAGCTTTTACTGAAAACACATCTCTAAATGAGATGGATTCCATCTCTTTCCCAGATGCATCATGTCTCTCTCTATATATATATTACTTATTGATATAGAAAAGGGAAGGGTTAACATTAATTAAGGTGGGAGGAAAAGGGGATGACAGAGGATGAGATGGTTGGATGGTATCACCGACTCAATAGGTATGAGTCTGAGTAAACTCCGGGAGTTGGTGATGGACAAGGAGGCCTGGTGTGCTGCAGTCCATGGGGTCGCAAAGAGTTGGACACGACTGAGCGACTGAACTGAACATTAATTCTAGTTCTGTTTTTTCGGTTTTTGAAAAATATAAATATTGAGAACTTATTCACAACAGTAAAAGGGAAAGGAAGTTTACTAGTATTACCAATTTTTCAGGGTTATATGCCAAAAATCACACAGTGGAAAATACTCAAGTCCTTTTTCATTTTTGTTGACAGCTAAGAATTTTACACCACTGGACTTGTACCATTTTATGCAGTCATTAGATAGTCACTTAGTTTCTCAGCTTTTACCAAGAACTGAGCCCTCTCTTCCTCTGTGCCTTGACCTTGACCTGCTTTAGTAAGAATTCTGTTAAGTCACCCCCATATTGATATCTCATCAAGCCCCTCATCCCCACCTTTGATGTCCAAACCACTGACCTGCTTTGCAAGAGCTTCCCTACCCTTGACATCTCAACTGTTTCCATCCACTGACCCCCTAACTCTACTTTCTGTCTGGAAATCCCAAGCTGTCTCCTCAGAAGGCACTCCAGACAGGACTGCATGCGAGACTGACCTTTCTACTGACTTCTCTGTCCATCCTGCCAGGTCTTTCCCCACCTTCCTACAATCACTAGGGTTTTAGGCCTCTGCCTCCCTGGGAGGCTGTTAAGGGACTCAGGGACTTCACACAGCCTCTATCTGAGTATGAAAAGGAAAAAATGACACACGGGAAACAAGTTGGGTATTTTACCCACACAGCTGAGCTATGGAAACACCCAGACTGCTGCTTGGTATTTTTAAGAAGTCCCTGACCTGAAATTTAGTCCATTGCCTCCACAGATTACAAATTATGGGAAATGAAAATCTTAAAAGTTAAATATTGTACAAAAGCATTAGTCTTCATCTTGGGCAGGTAATCTTAAATTGTTCCATTTGGCCCAAACTAAATTCAGATAAAAACACAATTAAAGCAGGGCAAAGACGAGAACCAACTCTTATGTTACCTAATCTGGTGAGCTTGGTTTGACTATGGTTATGCTGACTGGTGGCTCAGCTGTTAGGACAAGTGCAGTAACGTGTGTGTGTGTGTGTGTAACCTACAGCTGACCCTTGAAAAGTGAGGGGCGTAGGGGTGCCAACCCTCCATGCAATTGAAAATGTGAGTGTAACTTAGAGCTGGCCCTCCATTTTTGCTATTCCACATGTGCAGATTCAACTGTGGATCACGTGGTACTGCATCTTTGGTGAAAAAACCAACCCGTGTATGAGTGACCCCACACTATTCAGAACCATGTTGTTCAAGGTGCCACAGTATTTGTGATGTTTTCCTAGCCCCTGGGTGGTATTACCAAGTTAATTTACAAAATCCCTTAAAGGAGCTCTGCTCCAAATGACTTAAAGAGAAATAAGTGCTAAATTAAATATTCCTAAAACTCCCAGACACATAAGAAACCAAATATTTTTCAAGTTCATGTATAAATAAAACCAGTTTAGTAGTGTCACTTTAATAAAAGCAGTTCTCCTCTTGAAATGGAGGAAAGGGGACAGGGCACAACCTTTAAAAGAATGACAAGGCCATAGGACATGACAAAACTGGTTAGAACCAAGTAGACCCAAGATAGCAGGAGATTCAACTTTCAGTAGACCTTGAGCCTCATTATATGCCCATTGTAATACATTAGCTAAATGACACACCAGCCAGCACCACACTTCTGAGGCTGACCGAAAAGGCCAAAAGTGGGTGGTGGCCCAATTTGAGGAAATCCCCACCCCTTCCTTGAAATAAATGGAATAATCCTCCCCCTCATTGTTGTTGTTCAGTTGCTCAGTCCTGTGACTCTCTGCAACCCCATGGACTGCAGCATGCCAGGCTTCCCTGTCCTACACCACCTCCCAGAGTTTGCTCAAAATCATGTCCATTGAGCCAGTGATGCCATCCAACCATCTCATCTTCTGTCACCCCCTTCTCCTCCTGCCCTCAATCTGTCCCAGTACCAGGGTCTTTTCCAACAAGTCAGCTCTTTGCAACAGGTGGCCAAAGTACTGGAGCTTTAGTTTCATTAGCTTCCCCCCCACCGTTAGCTTATGAGTTTACCCGGCCCACAAAACCCACATTATATTTTGGGGCCTCTTGATGGCCCACACTCTGAGGAGTGTGTTTCTTTCTCAGTTAATTCACTTCTTACCTATCACTTTGTCTCCCACCGAATTCTTTCTGCAAAGAGACATAAAGAACCTGGGCTTCATTAAGTCCTGACACCAAGTGTGTGACCTCAGTGAAAAGAGTGTTTCTTGACCGGGTCTGACTCCCTCACTTGAGTTCAAGTCCCATCTGCGGTGCACATCTCCATCCTGAGTTATTAGCATTAAGTATAACAT